TCCCTAAGTCTAAGGTAACAAATTATACAGAAAAAAAACAAAACAGATAAAATCACTTACTCCACTACATAAAATACAAAGGTTCTAATGAGAACACATGGACACAGGGAGGGGAACATCACATACCCAGGCCTGTCGGGGAAGGATAGCTTTAGGAGAAATACCTAATGTAGATGATGGGTTGATGGGTGCAGCAAATCACAATGGCACCTGTATACCTATGTAACAAGCCTGCACACTCTGCACATGTATCCCAGAACTTAAACCACCATGATAACAATAATAAAATATAAAGGTTCTGTATTTCCAAAAAAGTATAAGCAAAACTAAAATTCAAAGAAGCTGGGAAAAGTATTTGCCCCAAATATCTTAGACAAAAACATGCGCGCGCGCGCACACACACACACACACACACACTTATAAATATATCATAGAAACATTCACACCCCAATAGAAAAGTTGATAATGGACATGAACAGGATATTTATGAAAGAAAACAACAGGCTGATACATGAACAAAGTTCAACGTTATTGGTAGAGATGAAAACATGCCACATGTCTGACAAGGAGTGAACGTTCATTAAATAGCTTCTGAGTAGATAAACCAAAAATAATGTCACCTTTTTGTCTAAAGATTAAAAAAAAGAGACTACTCAGTGCTGATGAAGATATGGAGAAAAGGACATTTCATACTTTGCCAAAATGTGGAGAACTTGGTTTAAGCTTTCTAGAAAACAATTTAGCAAGGTATATCAAGAACCTTACACTTAGCCTTCTGTCACTCAAGAAATTCACTGTAAGGAATCTCACCCAAGGAAATCATTAAAAATATGCCCAAGATTCATGTATTTGAAAGGTTAATTGCTGTAATATAAAAGTAATTTTTTAAAAAACTGGAAGCAAATTAGACACTCCCAAATTACAGAATTAGCACCATTAGAAATATTTTAAAGGCATTTTAAAGCATACGGAGAACATGCCTGTTTTAAAAGTGGGTTAGAAAGCACCTATACAGTCCAGGTGAGGTGGCTCACACCTGTAATCTCAGCACTTTGGGAGGCCGAGTTGGGTGGATCACCAGAGGTCAGGAGTTCAAGACCAGTCTGACCAACATGGTGAAACCCTGTCTCTATTAAAAATACAGAATAAACTGGGCATGGTGGTACATGCCTGTAATCCCAGCTAATTAGGAGGCTGAGGCAGGAGAATCACTTGAACCTGGGAGGTGGAGGTTGCAGTGAGCCAAGACTGTACCATTGCACTCCAGCTTGGGCAACAAGAGTGAAACTCCATCTCAAAAAAAAAAAAGAAAAGTACCTATACAGAAGTATGCTGATTCTGCAAATTGTGTGTAGGACAATACTGGAAGGAAATATACAGAAACACTAATAGAGCTTTGAGGATCAGAGGTAGTATGTGGAATCAAAAACAGTAAAATACACTACGTAGAAACAGACAGTGGTGGTTGGGGGGTGGGGGGATGGGGAGATGTGAGTCAAAGGTACAAAGCTGGAGTGATGTGGGATGAATACATCTAGAGACTCGAAGTACAGCATGAGGACCACAGTCTCATTATACTGCATACTAAATATTTCTTTTCTTTCCTTGGAGATGGAGTCTCGCTCTGTTGACAGGCTGGAGTACAGTGGTGCCATCTTTGCTCACTGCAACCTCCACCTACCAGGTTCAGGCGATTCTTCTGTCTCAGCCTCCTGCGTAGCTGGGACTACAGGCATGTGCCACCACGCCCAGCTATTCAGGAGGCTGAGACAGGAGAATTTTTGTATTTTTAGTAGAGACAGGGTTTCACCACGCTGGGCAGGATGGTTTCAATCTCTTGACCTCATGATCCGCCCACCTCAGCTTCCCAAAGTGCTGGGATTACAGGAATGAGCCATCACGCCCAGCGCTAAATATTTCTAAGTACATTTTAGATGGGCTTAACACACATACACAAAAAGGTAATGTGAGATGGCATATTCATAGTTGGAATGTAAGTTATTATTTTGCTATGTACATGTATCTCAAACCAGCTGACACCTTAAATATACATAATAGAAAAATAAATAAATAAAAGGGGTTTTATTACAAATGAGTCAGAGTAAAATAAAAACCACCATATGAAAAATTGGAATAGCATCTCCTGCTTTGGAGACAGGTCTTCACTCAAGTCCTTATCCTCATCGGCCAACTTACCGTTGGCTCTGTGTCTTCCACTGACTCTGTCTCTGTGTACCGATGTGTCTGAAGGTCACCTCTCATCAGAGGTGTCACCTCTCATCAGAATGTCAACCTGTCCCTGCTCAAACCTGGGCTTCCTCTTGGACTGCATTTTGTGGTGAATGATACCACATGATAACCCCAGCCACATTGCCTGCATCTATCTCCCCCATTTCTACCCCAATCCATCACCACATGCGTCCCGACAGAAGCTTTCCATTTGGCCTCCTTGCCTCGACGGCCTGTCCCCCACCCCGCCCCTTCCAAGTCACTCTCTTCACTACAGCCCATCTGGCCTTCCTTTCTGAAGCACACATCTGACTGTCAAGGCTCCTGGGTAGAAACCTTCAGGCAAGCAAGGTGTGGCACTCAGACCCGTGTTCACAGTGACTGCCAAGTCTCCCATCACCCCTTCCCCCCACACACAAGTCTGCACCTCTGGACAGGCTGCCCCACCTGCCTCCCATCCAGCTAACTCCATCAAGCCTATCCCTTGGGGTCAGTTGTGACCTCCCCTCCATCAGAAGCAGCGTGGGGTGGCAGCTAAGTGTCCCAAGCCCTGAGCATGCTGTTGTCATGCTCCCATGGCACTCATCACATGCTGTGATTCTGTTTCTGTATCTTTGTCTCCTGTACCAGACTGTGAGCACCCAGCCAGGTAGGCCCTCAGGGTTTGTAGAATGAATAAATATTTCCATTGCCCCAGCAGACCTATCCTGCTCTCATATTGAAAGGGGTACAAACCAAGATTTGGTAGCTTCCAAAGTATTACATCATCCTCACAAGTGAGACAGTCTTCCTTATCTTTAATCACCCAGCAAATGTATGTATCACATACTGTCTGTCGTGACACTACCTCCGGTTTTGTGTGAATCTGCTCACTCCTGCGAAGTCTATCACAGGAGTGTTATTCACATCACTAAACACAACCATCATTTTAAGTTCTGAACACCAGGCAGTGTGTGAGGCCCCGGAATATACGTACAAACCAGACTGTTACTACCTAAAGGCCATTAGCAAGAAATCCTCCGGCCTCTGTTCACTGTGGAATAAAACCCTCAGTTAACTTTATGTTTTCCTGGAAGGGCGTGTGATTTCTGTTGCTTGTGTATCAGCTTTTCACAATTGCCCAAAATCTTTTTTCAAGTGTGACTCAAACAGAACGCCGTGATGAGTCTGATGAACACTAAGTCTTGTTTTCTTACCCCTTTATGTCATACTCCTTTTCATATACCCAAGAATCATGACTGTTTTTCCCACAACAGCCTCACAGCATTGACTTAAATTTAGCTGATGAGTGATAAAGCCTTCATTTTTTAAAAATGAGGCTTTTGTACGTAACCATGCTATCTTAAATCTATCCCCACCAAATTTCTCCTGCTAATGTAGAATCATTTTTCTGCTTTGTTATAATAGTTACGAATTATACTCCTGGAACTGAGACGATTCTGAGTCCCACCTAATGTGGTAGCTTACACAATGGAAAAATGAAAAGAGCTCTCACAGTTTTATATTGTATGCGAAAGCCATAGACAAATACATGTATGAAAACTCTTCCCAACTGCTTCATGTTGAGTCTTCAGCTCTCTACCTGAATTCACAACGTACTTACAGACACACATGGTTCAATGTTGAGGGACCCTGGGCTATCTGTTTGCAGGCTCTGGTATTAACCATGCTCTTTATTTATTTAGTATTAGTCATGTATTTTCTCCACCCTTTGTCTTTGGCTCTGCACCCCCACCTAGCAACCAGAATGACTTCTTTTTGACCTGGATGCCTCCTCCTTTTTAATAACAGTGTTTCCTGGGAAGCTTAAGAACAGTAGAGTCGTCATGAGGGGTCAGTCCAGGGCAGTGTTCTTAATGGTGGGTACATAGATCTGGGTCTGTAAAAGGGCAGGCGAATGTTTGCATACAGGTTTGTGGAAAACGGGTTCATGGCTTCCATCAGAATCTGAAAGGAATCTAGCACCCTGGGAAGGTTAAAACTCTAACTCTCCAGCATTCGGACATAGGACAGCACACTGAATAAACAGCACCAGCATGCCTGACTCAACCTTCTACTAAGCTACCTCCCAAGGGAATGAGAAATTCGATAGTAATTATACACCAGCATCTTTTGGAGGGCAGCTGTGCTCACCACTATACCACCAACACGCCAAACACCTCTTGAATAATTAAGATCATAATTTGAGGGTATGATGCGGGGACGTCTAGCATAGATGACATTATATCGAGGCCATAACTAACACTTTAAATATCAAAGCTATCTTTTCTCAGTTTCTGCTTTTATCCACTTGCAACATACTTTCTTTGTCCTCTTCTGATACTTTTAGCTTATTTGATAATATTGGTTGAAAACCAAAGTATCATGAATCACAACTTTCTCTACATTTTGTGAGTAGCTCAAAGCACACGGCTTTCATTACCTGTTGGTAATTATATTATTTTTTCCAGAATATACTGGCGCCTTGTACACTTACTTGTGTTTAAATGGCATTACAAATATCCTTTTAGTGTACGTATGTCAAAACCAAAGCTGCCTTTAGGTCAGTATGCTGCAAAAATCTATCAGTATACATCTTAATTCTTAACTTTCATTGTCGTCTATGTGTTGTCTTTTAGAATCATTATCACATCCACAGTATTTTCTATAGGTCAATATGCAATGCACTGGAAACGTACTGGGGGAAATGCTCTTCAAAGCATTTCCCTAGACGAAGCACCATTTAGGCATTTAGAAGCAAGAAATAGTGAAATCAGAAAATGCTGTCATACCTACTCACCACTGAACGGTCGTACGAAGGATCCCCAAGCGCAGGCTGGACTCATCCTGGAAGCAGAGGATTGGATTCCATCAGGAGAAGAGGCAAGTGGAAATGCCAAATGCCAGCGCTCCCTCTCACCAGCTCATCTTATTTAGCAGACACAGATTTTGGAATCCTCCAGGACTAACAATAAAAACCACACTAGGTTGTTTTCCTAATTCCTATGAAATGAGTCAGTAGGTCAAACATCTTATCCACTCTGGAGAGAGAACAATTCCTTGAGCTCCACTCCCTGTTTCCAGTAACCCTATTCCCCGTCTGGGCCCCTGGATAGCAGTGCTGCCAATAACGCATAGAGACCCCACCGGGCTCTGAAAGAGCCATGTCGTGAGATCGACAGAAAGTCAGCTGCCTTCATGGGATAGTTTCCCTTATGAATATTTAGGAAGAAAAAAGTCCACTTAAGAGTAACAGGAGGATCAAGTTTCTTCATTTAAAGAGTCAGCATAACTTTTTCTCTGTTGAGACCATTTATTTCTTTCATACCGGAGGACCTGAACGATGCTGAAAATAAATATAGAAAAGGAGTAACTGTACCTTTAAAAGCCCCCACAAACCACTTCCTTCTGTAAAACACTCCTTCCTCCTCCACAGGTCTAGTATATTCAAAAGATTCACTGATTATTCGAAGAATTCATATTCTTAAAAACCCTTCACAACTGTCTGTGAGTCCTGCAGTTCCATGCTCTGTATCATATAAAGCAGAAGTGTTTAAGAGTTTGCTAGCTATCCTTTAAATCCATGACTCAAGACGACCAACACTGGGTTACCAATAATCTTCAGAAACTACCACCTACTCACCGAGTGTAACCGTTCTTCTAGTTAGCGACCTTTGCATAGGAAATCACCAGCTCCTGGCAATGAATCCATACTTCCAAGAACTCACGCATTCAGGCAAATATATGGACATACATCTCTAAATAGACATACAGAGGTCTGCCGTGACAGTTCAGTAGGAGACTGGAAATACTTTTGCTTTCTGTATCGACAGTACTTTTTTTCCTTTTTAAAGAGAAGGTTTCGTTTTGATCTTGAGAAATTCTGATAAAACCACCAACTGAAAACCTGCCATTATAAAGGAGGGATTTCACAACATTCATTCCAAAAAACTGTGGCTATTCATTTCTGGAAGTGATTCACTGCAAAAGAATCGCTGTTTGGGGGTGGAGGGAGCGTTGATTTTTAGAAGCCAGCCTGCCCTCTGAAAAGTGAGCAGGAACCTCCGAGATGGCAGCCACGTGCCTTCTGACCCCCAGCCCTGCCCCCTGAATCACCACCCCTCGAGATGACATGCAGTGACCAATTTCCTCTTAAAACTCCCCTCTGTATACAAAAACCCTATGATCCATGCACCCTGCGTCTAATCCTCTGCGATGGGGCCAGTCTGCAGATCCGTCTGGGCAGGCTGCGGTAGCATTCTCCACCTGCCAACACTCAGTTGCTGGTGAGTAACCAGCATACGGACACTCACTTCCTGTGAGTATTTCTGAAAGAGCTTATGATATTTCCTTTTAAAAAAAAGTGGGGAAGAAAGCCACTCAGGGAGGAGAAGCAACTTCAACAAGCACAGCTAAAAGCATGCAACGTGATCGCTGTTGACCAGACACGCCTAATTTTAATTTGGTTTCTCAACCCCTGTGTAATTAAGACAGCCCAAAGAGAACAGCATCAAGAGGGGGGAAAAAAAAGACATTTCACAAATGCTTAGACCTTCAGTGCGCGTGACCAGAAAAGTAATTTTAAGATTCAAGCGAACCAATCTGAGGCTGGCTGGAGCATTAACCCTTCAAGGAAAGAGAAAGAGTTATTTTTGTGTGTGCCCAAATTTCAAATACGGAATTCATCTTCCCGACAAGGCACTAAGATGCCGAAAATCGGCCTCTAAATGCCATCCCCTGAGCTTATGAGATGAAAAAACTTTTTCAGATTTGTCCATGACGGAGACAGAAAAATACCTATTTATGAGACCCAGCCACATTAACAGAGCAGCCGACACCGTGTTCACACTCGGCACTCTTTGAAAACCGACCACTAAGGCTAAAATGTGACATTTTGTATTTCTCTCGGCTGTAGTCAAACCTGTTCATTTATGTCAGAGAGAAGGGCAGCATTTCTTGACAATTGGGCCAAGTGGGTAAGAAAAATAGCTTTTATCCCACCTTACAGAGTATCAATGGTGACAAAGCTCACTTTCTGAAATCAGTAGACGTTTTGCTGAAAGAACAGATTTTTCAGAGCCTGTCCTTCAGCTTCAGGCTGTGAATGTGCTTCTAACTTGAGGCCTCCATGTGCCTACATGGTGGGGAGGGGGGCTTTTGAAGGAGGAAGGAGGAAAATACAAGCTTCTACTTAATGGGCACTGAAGGATAAAACAAATCACCCAAATCCACACCTGTATTTATCGCACAATACACGGAAGCCCTTAACCTGTAACATGGCAGCACTTTGCCACTCAGACCCCAACTCTTTTATTTCACATTTTTGGACACTCAAGATAAATATTTAAAAAATATATAAAAACATAATCTGCAATTTATACTCTGGAAGGGAATTTTCACTAATGTGATTTTTTTTTTTTTTTTTTTGAGACATTCCTATTGCCCAGGCTGGAGTGCAGTGGCGCAATCCTGGCTCAAAGAAGCCTTGACTTCCTGGGATGTGATACTCTTTTATAATCTTTACCAAACTGATATTTTAACAAGAAGAATATGGAAATCATTTGCCTGATATACTTCATTTATTTATTTTAGAGATACGGTCTCACTTCATTTCATCTCAGCCTCCAGAGTAGCTGAAACTACAACTAAGCACCACCATGCCCAGCTAATTTTTTTTTTTTTTTTTTGGTAGAGACAACACCTTGCTGTGTTGCCCAGGGTGGTCTCCAACTCCTGGCCTTTAGCGATTATCCCAATTGGGGGTGAGTAAAAATAAAAAAGCACCTATAATTGGAAGTAAATTTTTATTTTAGAACAACTACACGACATAATAGTCATCTCCTTAGCAGCTGCCCATGAGACCTTATGAACCTCCTCAGTAGAAAAAAAGTATTCTTTGATACAGTCAAAGAAACAGAAACCCTTTACATGGAGAGCAATTTTAAATATCTACAATTTTTAAAAATCCCATTGATACTGATCTCAGCAAAAGAATAAGCATTGATGACAGGCCTGACCACCACTCAGTGATTAGAGTATCGTCTCTTCTCTCTTACTTAGAAGGGAGCTTCCCTCTCCCACTATGTCAGGTATACACACAAGTTCACAGCTCTGTTTCTGCGCAATTTGTTCCTATTTCAGAAAAGTTCCCCTTAAGTCCTGGGCAGCCAATGCAGAAGTTTTAAAAAGAGGAAAAGCAGAGCAAAACAACAAAAAGATCATGAAATGGCAGCCTGGGGGTAGGGGGATGCAGAGAGAACATGAATCTAACAGATGCAGCAGTTGTAAAAAAACTGCTATCCTTTAGAAACTCCTGTTGATTTGGGGACCTAAAGGGAGCTGTTTCTAAGGCTGGATATTGAGAACGTGATTAAACCATGGAGGCTGGCCAGCTCCTTGCTAGGCTGTGGACATCATTCAAGTGCTATGGAGTCTACCCTCTCCAAACAAAGGAAAACCTGTGACAAATGTCCTTCATGTTTAACATTTACTCAGTTCTCTCTTAAACAATGAAACGGAGTGCACTCTTTCGTGGCACTTTTATAGGCAGGGGAGAGAGTGGTCTCACAACAGAAGGGCACCAGCCACTGGGACGTCCTAAGGCGGTGTTCAAGTTCCGGTTCATCTTTTTGCTGATTTGCTGTGGTGCATATCACCCAACCTCTCTAAGTCAGTTTAATCATCAGCAAGAACAGAACACTGGCATGCAGGGCCAGCTCCGAAGCTATATTGTCCATTCGCTTAATCTTCACAGCAGCCCTGGAGGTAAGTTCTATTTTTATCCTCTTCCTACAGATAAGGAAACTGAGGCCCAGGAAGACTAAGGATGCACCCAGGTTACACAATCAGTAGGTGGTGGAGCCAGGATTCAGAGCCAGGAAGCTTGACCTTGAGAGCCTGCCCTCAGCATGTCTGCCAGTAACACCCAGGTTGGCTGCCCAGCAAGGAAAACAGCAAGTAGGAAGCTACCTTAAAACCTACAAAGACTATAAAAACACAAGTCAGATTTTTAATCATGTCACATGCAGATATATTCTCTGTAAAAATTTAATGAAGATTCAGGGCAACTCAGCAGTGGTAACTCTGTTGATCCTCTGAAAACAGTTTCACGTAACTTGCAAGTTACTTATTTGCACACAACGTGTGGTTCTGAGTTTTACAGGTAGAAGGGATGGGGAGATCCTGTTTTCAGTTGGGGTGGTTCAGTGGGGCTCCCAGACACAGAGCTAAAGGTTCACTTCATCCTTTAACTCCCAGCCCAATGATGCACCACTGTGTCACAACCACAGGTGGCTATGAAGGCATCTCGATGGAGCTCTACATTTTACTCTGTCAGGCATCCATCCATTTGTTCACATAATTCGTGTGTGTGTAATATTAACCTTCAGAAACCAAGGTCACTTACAGTATTTTTCTCATTACAACTTCTTCAGGCTTTAAGATGAAAAGGATGAAGAAAGAAGTCTTTTCTAAATATTTTCTTCCTGCAATTTGCTTTTTTATTCAAGGAAAAACAAAGCCTCTATTCAAGTTCTGCTTATGATGAATGTAACTGAAGTTCCATCTGATTCTTTGCTTTAATCTATAAACTTGTTCACAGGCAACAGCCTCTTCGACATCCGCAGGCTGCTCCTCCCAAGTGCCTGCAGATCATGGCTGCAGGAGTCACTGGAAGGAGCCTGCCTCAGAGGCAGTTTGGAGGCTTCCAGGCTTTAACATGAAAAATGATTTGGTCATTTAAGACAGAGTGTCGCTCTGTTGCCCAGGCTGGAGTGCAGTGGCACGATCATAGCTCACACCAGCCTCAAACTCATGGGCTCAAGTGATCCTCCTGCCCCAGTTTCCTGAGTAGTTGGGACTACAGGTATGTGCCACCACATCTGGCTATGATTTTTGATATTTTTTTTGTAGAGAAGGGGTCTTGCTGTGTTGCTCAGGCTGGTCTTGAACTCTTGAATTCAAGCAATCCTTTCACCTTAGCCTCCCAAAACACTGGTTCACAGGTGTGAACTACCAGGCCTAGCCTATTTACTCTTGAAGGAAAAAGTAAGTTTTTATTTCGTTTTCAAGCCTTTCATGTTCCTTATTATTTTTGCTTAGAATCTTTTCATGGTTTTATGTCTTGTTGGGTCACAGCAAAACACGCAGAGCCTCTTTCTAAAACAGACATTTACTGACCAAAAAAAAGTTAAGAGAAGAAAAAAAGGAGACCAGCCAGGTATTTAGTTCTATTTAAGAGAGCAAAGGTGACTGTATGCAAGATTCTGGAAAACTTACGTACGTTAAATTTATGAGCCAGCACTTTTCCCCCAAAGATTTATTTGGTGTGAAATGTTACTTCCTGTACTGTAATCATAAAATCAAAGTTACTTACTCCTGTCATAACCATTCACATGCTTCCTGCCATAAAAACTGAAACCTGGCTGGAATATTAAACATGCAAAAAACTTTAAGTTCAGGAAGTGACTGTATGTATTATACACATTAAGTTCATATTCCAATCTAAGAAAGAGCTAAAACACGCCTACTTAGGAAAACGAGTATTATGTTTTATCATCTGGAATGACTAATCCCACCACAGCCCATGCAATGGACTTTAAGGGTAAAAAGGACTTTCTCTCTTTTTTTTTTCCTCTCCCCTTCCCCTCCGTCAGGACTTTCTCTTTTGCACCTAGCTCAGTCCATAGTTTTGTGGGGACTGTCAGTTTACCGTGTGTAGTAGGCTGAAATATACTTGCACACGGCCCAGAGTTAAAATCGTAAAGATCCAAAGACTTACTTAGGGTAGATGCGCACACTTTAAATGTGTGTGCACATTTTTCTTTGATGCTTGCCTACTTCTAAAAGAACACAGGCTTTAAATGCTTAAGCTTCTGTGTGTCGGGTGGGAAAATCAGAGCCAGTGTACACATCCAATGATAGAAGAAAGCGTGCGTGAACAGATTTGTTTACAAAACAGGGCCCAGCAAAGTCTGTCTCTCAGTGCCTCGGCACGATCCATTCAACAAAACAAACACACAAACAAGGATCTAGGGAACTCGCTCTTCCTTCTGATGAAGGTGTAACAGTCTGCGATTTTAACTGGGCAGTAAATTACGACATAATCACGTGACCCAGGCTTGAATTGGAGATATGCCAACAAATCTAGTTTAACGCAAGTGCGCGCGCGCGCACACACACACACAGAGAGAGAGAGAGAGAGAGAGTTATAGTTAGTACATTGCCTTCAGGTCTCCTTCTGTGGCATTAATTTCAAATCTGTATCTTCAGCAGTAGCTGCCCCTCCTGCCTATATCCTTAACATATTTTTATCTGGATAGGGCAGTCCCTTTAAATTCATCATGAAGCAAAAAACCAACCCCATTCTACTGATTTTACTTAGTTTATTGTATAGCTGTTCTACCAGGCTTGCAAGTTTGGCCTCTGGACTCCCTTTTTCACTGAGCCGAGCTGAGCCATTCTGTTACTAAGTCTAGTCAATGCTTCCTTTCAGTGTCTGCTGCCTCCATCCTCTCCCTCCCACTCCCGTTTCCAGTCACCAGGGTGCACCTTTTTCTCTGTTCTGGGACAGGTGAGACAGCCTTTATAATTGGTTCCCTTGCCAGCGAACAAACACTGCAGTGAAGAAACACTGCAGGCAGTAGGAAGGTTGGGTTCTAGGCTGGGCTGTGCCCGAGCCAAACCATGTGATGCCAAGAAAGGACATAATATCCTTGGGCCTTAGTATTCTCTCCTATACCATGAAGAAAATGGCTATCAAATGTTATTAGCTGATGCACAGCATATACAGTCACCAATTATGGTCTTCTAAAATGTAGTGAAATGCATGTCGCTATATTCCTCAAAAGCTTTCTATGTCTTTGCAATGTCTAGAGGGTAAAACTTAAGCTCTCTAGCTTCTGGGCTTATGTAAAGAATTAAATAAGTGTAAAAGTCTCCTATAAAATGCAAGGTACCACACAAAAACAATAGCCCTAATGATGACTATTTATTAAGCTCATGCACAGGGTATTACTTGGGGGTTTTATATCCATGGTTTCTAATCCTCATGACCACGATGCAAGGCTGGTTTTATTACTCTACATAAAAGATCAAGAATCTTAGGTTCTGTGAACAGCGCACCCAAGGTTTCAGGACTCAGTGAAGTGTCAGGGGTGGCTTCCAAATCTACATGTGATAAAGTCTACTAAAGCACGCTGAGTACTTTAAATATAACACAGTACTTGGCAGGGGGTGGGGATTCATTACTTGGGTAATCATTATTTGAATCCCTGTAGTTACCAAGTTGCATAAGGAAACAAAGTTTCCTTATGAAAATACTGACAAATACGTGATCACTTATTGTTAGTTCTCATTAACATCAGAATCTATTCTTGCTCGCTTTCTGGTTGAATAATGTCATACAATAAAATGAAAATCCAATGTAGTTAACTTGTAAGGTGAAATCGCAGGTTTTCACACAGTTGATAAAAATGATATTGGAGAACGGCATGAGTCAAACAGTGTCACTTACAAATAAGGATGAAAGACAGTTTCAACAGTTAACGATTGAAGAAGAGAAAGTCAACAGAGGTGATTATGTGAGAGGTAGACTCTTCAACAGAACAGTCTGTATATTGAAAGATTAAGAGAGTCCTTGGGGAAATTCGAATGCTTGTACAAAAATCATCCTCTTCATATGATTCTGCTTTCAAGTCAACATTCAATCTTTCTTCTAAGAAATAACATGCTGTGCATCATATCTCAAATTTCTATTATATAAAACTAAGCTTCAACTTCTGTTTTATTTTTTTCAAGACTTAATCCAAATAAGATCTCTCTCTCTCTTTTTTAAGTGACTTTAAAAATATCTGACTCAGTTTTAAGTAAATCCTCTTAAAATAGTAGTAGTGGTCTGTTATCGGTTACCTTCAGATAACAGGCACCTCCTGAAATAGTGGCAACAGGAGAAAAAAGAAGAAAATGATTAACTGAATGCAACTAGTAGCCAACAAAGAATGAACTAATTCTTCAGCCCACAATGGAAAGCAGTGTCCTAGTTTTTCTCTCATTTCCAGATCTCAGGCTCACCCAGACCAAAGCACCCAGCAAGAAGCCATGTTCAGCATCCCCACCCCATTCCCACCACTGTATCTATACCAGTGTGGATATGGCAATTGTATGGCATCAGGCCGGACCCTGGGCAGGTTTGAATGCCGAGGCAAAACTAGACGGCGGCCCTGTAAACCCTCTGTCTGAATCCTAACTTTACATAATTCACTCCATCCATTCTGTCTTCATCCAGTTATCTGAAGATCTCCACTTTTTTTTTCAGAAGACGAGTCAGGGATCTGGAAGAATTCTGTCGTATAATAACCCGCTCTTAAAAGGCACCCCTGTGTATCACGATCCTTTCTAAGTAAGATGTGTATACACACTGGTGTACATATCAAATAGTTTTGGTTCCTGCAAATATTCTTCCTTCAACGATTCAGAGATGGACTATTCTGAGAAAGATTTATTGGGATTTGTAACATAAAACCTCAAATGTGCATTGAGTTAACCAAGACAACTCTGGAACACAAAGTGTGGTTGTAGGAACCTTGCTTTTTCTAGTGAGTATAATCTAATCCAAGAATCTAATAAAATAAAGTTGTCTCTCATGCCAGAAAGAAACCCCAGAAGATATGTCCTCAGAAAATTTAGTCTGAAGTTGGTCAGTTCTAATGCAGTCACTCTAAGTGATCAGAACTTCATTAGTGAGCTTTTGGCCTTGCAGGATTGATGTTTGCTACAGAGATCTTTGCTTGCTCCTTAGGAGAATTCTGTGGCACTGTGAAATAGCTCCTTTTCTCTGAAAAGCAGGTGTTACTCTTCATTAAGAAAACCCTGGAGTTGTGATCCATGCGTTATACTTGTGAGTCTTTCTCATGTATGTGCAAATACATTCAATAAGGCACGGTGCAAGATTAATATATTCACACATACAAGAGCCTTTCTGGAATTCAGAAATCTGAAATTGGGGAATGGGGTGAGCAGAAGTGAGATGGGAAGGAAGAGGTGGCACTTCAGCGGTTTTGAACTTTGACTGTGATCCCAAATCCCTTTTTAAAAAAGGATTTTGTAGCACTGACCCCAAAGGCAGCACAAAGACATTGGTGAAGTGTGTATTAATCGAGGTCATTGAGGATATTATTTTCTCCTTTTTAAGACTCTGGCCAGAAGCTGAATATGCCAGCAGTGAACGCAGGCAGTGCTGCTGTTCCCTTCACAGTCCTCGGAGGCAGTGAAGCCTGTGCTTGAGACGCGCAGGGTGGAATGCTTGTTTTGGAGAGCATTCAGTGGATAGCATTTGGTTTCCTCCATTTAACCAGGTCACCCAGGCATGGAATGCACAGCTTTGCCAGACAGAAAGCGCTTTGGATGCCTGAGAAACAACAGCTTGTCCGGGCTACTGATGCGGAGAGAGGCCACGGTTTCCTTTTTCTCTGCTCTGAATGGCAGCCTTGACGTCACAACAGCTAGGAACCACTGGAGGGACAAATAACAAGGCACAAGCCAGAAGCGCCCTGCTCTATCGCAGGGGCAGGGCCATTTTCATCCAGTTTCGATGTTTTCTGCGGCTGCTGCGAGACAGCAGGAGCAGAGACAAATGACTGGAGCTTTGGGCATAAAGGAGGTCTCTCTAGGCTGATCAAACAGCCTCTGCCCAGTGCTAATTGCCTTCATGGAACCTGGATAAACTATAGTTCCTGAATCAAACTTGTTTCTGACAAACTAGACTTCCCAGGGAATGGGTGTAGTGATTTTGCTGATGGTTCAGACATTGGCACTTTCCCTGAAGGGCTCAACTTCCCGTGTTTAAAAGCAAACCTTTTCTAACAGGCGCTGGCACGTAAGCATCCCAGAAAATACAAGCAGCTCATGAAAGCAGGCAGTCTTTGCAAGAGACCCGACTGATTTTCTGGGATAAAAACATCCTTTTAGGGATTTTATAATTTAAGTTTGAGCAATTAAACATGTGCATTAGTACCCAACTGCAGGTGTTTGAACAAATGAGTGAAAAACGCTCAGAGGCTGGCAGGCTTCACTCACCATTATCGAAAATGAATTGTCTGTGTAAGTCATCAGAGCAGTTTGAAAAGCATGATCTTTCATGTTTCAGCCTCACATCAAAATTATAAATTATATTTAGCTATGTGAGTGTCAGATCACTTGTTTCCACGATCAATGCCACGTTGGGCAATTTGCAGATGGGATCTGAAAGTATCATCCGCGACTTTCACGGAACAGAAAAGAGCTTTCTTGCCACGGATTTGCCCTGAGTTCAGTCCTCTGCCTTTGGAGCGCTGACAGCTGTCACCAAACCCAAACCCCAGTCCGAACCCATAGTGTTCAAGGTACTGTGGGAAAGCTAATTCTGGAAAACCACAGGCTGGAGGGTTGTCTTTGAGGGGTGTGTGTGTATCCACATGCGCTGGCAGTGTGTGGATCCAGCCCAACATGTGGAGGGGCAATGGAAGCACCTGTTCTCATGACTCCTGTGCTCCTATCTGGAAAAGTTCAGCAGAAGAAACAACTGTTCTGAGACCCTCAGTCCCTTTTATCAGCTCTTTCTTTGCTTAATCGAATGAGCAGCTCCCCAAGCACTCTTTCCCTGAGGTCATGGTGTCAATCTTATTTCATGAGAATAATCTACTATGAAGATTTACAAAAACAAATGTCACTTACTACCCTACACCACAATCTAGCCCTCTGCCTCCAGGCTTTCCTGACAACCCATGCCCTCAACAGGGACATGAGGTCTGTTCTGGAATCCGGTCTTTGGACTCAAATTATTTTACCTGGATAGATAACTAAGTTTTGTGTCTTGTTCCTGCTGTTTAAAAAAAAAAACAATCCCAGTATGTTCTGTGATTAAACACTGGAGAAGATAAAGCAAAAATAATTTTGTAACTACATCTTTCTTTTCCAAGTGGCAGTTATGCCTGAGAAGTAAAATCTACTGTAGCCCTACTGCTGTTTCTATCTTATAAGAGCTTTTTGTAGTGTAAGAACTATAATTACATTTCCTCTGAACTGTTTTATTAAACTTAAGTTTTCAAGAAGAGAATGATAACATTTCTCAAACTATTATGTTTCCAAAGGGAGGACAATTTATTTTCATTGTTCTGGCACAAAGAAAGACAGAATGAGAGGGAAAGTGTCTTTCAACCTGTATCCCGATTAGAATTTTTTAATGTTCAAATTCCTGGTTATAAACTGCAGTAAACAATTGGTCATTCATTAACAAGCAACTATTGAAAAGGCGATATTTAAAAGAGAAAAAATAAAACATGTGATTAAAACTCCACACACGTCTTCACTTCAAGGCAAACGCAGTGGCCATCTGGGTATTTAGAAGGTGCCAAATATCATTCGGATCTAGATTTAATTCATGTTATAAAGAAAGCACTGTATTTAATTTGTTCACAAAAGATCTAGAACCTCACAGAAATGATGGCGACGTGAACTTTTACCATTAAAACGAGACCTTTATTTTAAAGTTATTTAAAGATGTGATCAATCACAAACACGAACGACTTTCAATGCTCCAGTGTTCTACTCTGAAGGAGACAAGTTGTAAAGATCATTTTCAGCTTTCACAAATTCTTGCTTTAATTTTCTCCTCTATTTGTAAATGTTTAAAAATTTGTCAGTTTAAAAGTCCTGGGTGCTTTAAGAAAGAAGGGCCTAAGAAGAGACAAGACTTTTCCCAGGGTATCCAAAGAGAGATCCGGAGAACTTAAATGCTGGACATGTTACCTGGACTAAAGGCATTCGTTGCTTGCTTTATGGTGAGGACCGGGAAGACCTGACTTCCACAGTCCTCTTTCCAAGTGGGAGAAAACAGGACACGCACTGTGCCAAGCAGCTTCCGGCACCCATGCAGCACCCTTCCAGCACCCATGCAGAAGTACCCATGCTCTGAAGTTAGGCCTGAACTCGCCACCTTGCCACCGAGGGCTCCCCAGCAGGGCAGGGATGGGAACTTTCCTGCTGTCACATGCTCCCTGGCCTCCTGAGTCCTGCAGGGACAGCAGACTACATCCCTGTTTTCAGTCTGAGGACACTCATGGGATTTTTCCAAGAATTTTCTTCAGGAACAGACACTATTGTGAATACCACATAAACGAGCTCTCTCTTTTCCAGTTCCTCTTTTGAAAATGGTAGAGAATCAGCATATCTGGCTCTAAGTTAACTTGTTAAAAAAATAATAATACATTTTTTAAAAAGTTTCAGTTTATCACACTCAACCACAGTTATCTTCCAATCCTACAATGTACACATGAGAAATTAGTTTTCAAAGACTGACAGTTGTGCTTGTTAGAAAAACTTCTATCTACCCACCCTTTCTATGAAAATGCTAGCCTCCAAGAGCGACTCTATACTAGATAGCTTCACAAAACTAAACTCTTTATGCTTACAAAGCTACCTCTAATAGGTAACAACAGAGCTGCCATGAATCCTGGTTTCTGAATAGGCACACAGGGTTAACACATGCCAGGCTTTATTTAGACTCTCAGTGTCTGTCCCTTCAGTCACGGCACATCGTACCCCACAGCTGCCTTTGTGTGCTTATTTGCTGCCAGATTCCTCTGCTAGTGTGTAAGTGCCATGAAGACAGGATTCATGCCGATGCACTGCTTGTGTAAAAACTGCTAATGCCGGGGCTGGGCATGGTGGCTCATGCCTGTAATCCCAACACTTTGGGAGGCAGAGGTGGGTGGATCACTTGAGATCAGGAGTTCGAGACCAGCCTAGCCAACATGAGGAAACCCCCTCTCGACTAAAAATATAGGAATTAGCTGGGCGTGGTGGCAGGCGCCTGTAATCCCAGCTACTAGGGAGGCTGAGGCAGGAGAATCGCTTGAACCCGGGAGGTGGAGGTTGCAGTGAGCCAAGATTGTGCCATTGCACTCCAGCCAGGGCAAAACAAACAAAAAAACCACTAATGCAGGAAAGAGGGAGAGGGAGAAGAAAGTGAGAGGGAAGGTGACAGAAAGAAAAGAAAAGGGAAGGGAGGAGGGAAAGGAAAGAAAGGCGGAAACAGCCTCGACACCAGTTTTAGTAAACAGGAGTGCCTCTGCAGTTTGATCAGATTTTTCATTCACACAGTTAAAGGTTCCTTGTAGCCATGATCTCATCGAATCTCATAATAACCCTGAATGACCTTTTAACATTGAACTAAAATGTTTACTTATGGCAGAGATTAGGAATGACCAGTTTCTGATCTTCCATGTTTCGTCTGTACATCACCCATGACAGCAGGTAGTTCTGCAAAGGGCCTGTCAGGTGATCTGTGTGTAGACACAGGTCTGTGTTTCTCTAAGTCGATGGTTTAAGAATTGTGAAAGGCCAGGTGCAGTGGCTCATGTCTGTAGGCCCAGCACTTTGGGAGGCCAAGGTGGATGGATTGCTTGAGGCCATGAGGTCAAGACCAACCTGCCCAACATGGTGAAACCTTGTCTCTACAAAAAAATCCAAAAATTAGCCAGGCATGGTGACCCACGCCTGTGATCCCAGCTGCTCAGAAGGCTGAGGCATGAGAATCACTTGAATCCAAGAGGTGGAGGTTGCAGTGAGCCAAGATCGCACCACTGCACTCCAGCCTGGATGACAGAGCAAGACCCTGTCTCAAAAAAAAAAAAGAATTGTGATAAATGCTCAGCATTTCCTTCATTTTATTGACTCAACATGTCTTATAATCACAAAGCCCAGATTTGAACTTTGGATATACTCATGTAAAGGAGAGCCAGTTCTCAACCAACTTTTCTCATTTTTACCATCCGCATAAACATGTCGCTTCTGGTAAAACAACATTTCTCATTTTACAAGTTCATTAATCAATAATGAGCAGGCTCAGTGGGGCACAGGACAACCTGAGCCTGACAGTGAGGAAGGCAGGTTGTGTCACTGAGGGAGGGTTCTCATGAAACGGTGGATCTCCCGGCTAGCAGGAGGAACTTACAGCGGCTGCCCAGAGAGCATGAGAGGTCTCTCCAATCATGCCACGAACCCCACAATGTCAGGACGAGGGCACCAGTGCTGATGAGACCTTGGAGTTCATGAGAGGTCCCATCACCTGCCTAGGTCTCCTCACTTCTAACCGCCTGTTCTTCCTCCAGCAAAACCAACTGCACTTTACATTCCATCATTATTAATTCTCCAAACGAGCAACCCATCCACACAGCAACAAGGAAACTGAGGTGAAGCAAGCCGAACCTGCTTGCCCAAGCTCACACAGCACAGGGCCATCAGCACTGGGAGGCAGCCCCTGGTCCTACTGGCCTCATGCACCGCCTTGTCTGGCTGTCGAGAAAGTCCCAGCCACCGACACAGGCTGCAGGAAAGGGCACACACACTCTGCAGCAGTGCAGAGAAAGTGTGAACAAAGACCTTTCTCTCTCTCTCTTTTTTTTTTTTTTTTTTCCAGACAGAGCAAGAGCTCTGTTACCCAGGCTGGAGTGCAGTGGAACAATCTCAGTTCACTGGAACCTTCACCTCCCAGGTTTAAGCGAATCTCCTGCCTCAGCCTCTGGAGCAGCTGGGATTACAGGCACCTGCCACCACATCTGGCTAATTTTTGTATTTTTAGTAGAGATGGGGTTTCGCCATGTTGGCCAGGCTAGTCTCGAACTCCTAACCTCAGGTGATTCACCCGCCTCGGCCTCCCAAAGTGCTGGGATTTCAGGTGTGAGCCACCATGCCCAACTCAAAGAACCTTTCTAAGGGAAAGAAAAGTCCCAGCAGAGCGTTCTACTTTTGAAGCAGCTCACCCAGGAACACTTACAGGAAATGTGACCTGCTGAGTGCAGCACCCATTTGGGCCGTTTTTCTTGCCACAGCTGCGTACTGTCCTTCTGTCAAGGCAGAGACAGACAAACTCCCACCATCTGTGGCTGCCCTGGGAACTGTGAGAACTCATGGAAATAATGGGTACCCTTGTGACTCTTCAGTTCCCATCTGAACACACGAGTCCAGCCTTGGAGATGCAGCTTTCATCTTGCTGAAACCTTCCAGTTACATTTCTCCATCAATTTCTCAAATAGTATTATTAGCTGAGGAACTAAAATCTGGCTGGCATTCTTCTGATGACAAAGGTACCATCCCTCCCTAGGGATGGTACTACTCTCCATCCTCAAGCTGTTTCTAATTCAGATTTTCTTCTCCCTTCTCCTGAATACCTACATCTTCTTCCTGACTGACATGGCTCTAGGAAACACATTCACAAACATCTGAAGCCAACGGCAAGGCACCTGCCACGCAGTGAGAAAAGCAGAGAGGTGCCAATTCAGATGGCAGGGCTAATTCGCATGGGTCCTGACCTGTATCACCACGGTGTCGTAGAAATGGACCCTTGTCCATCACATCTCCTGATGGCAGTGAGCTGTGACCCGCTGACTCCAGGACATCATGCATTCTGGTTTCCTTTGCGAGAACATTTCCAGGCCCGGCTGAAGCCCAGTGGCAAGAGCAGAGGTCTCAGCCCCTTTGGGATGCTCAGTGGGAGACAGAATCAAGGGTCAGCGATCCATGACCCAGTCCTTGTACCCATGTCAGTCTGTCAATGGCCCTCAGGGCAGATCGTGTTCTCCCTGGCGGGAGCTTGACTTCCTTGCTTTAAAAAGAATTCATAAGTACTTATTGCAGTAAAATTATTCACTATCAAATTTCTGCTAGATCCCCTAGAGGTATATAGTTTATCAATACAAAACAAATGTGGGCAGGGCATGACAGCTCAGGCCTGTAATCCCAGCACTTTGGGAGGCTGGGGGTGGAAACATGGATCACCTGAGGTCGGGAGTTCAAGACCAGCTTGACAAACATGGAGAAACCCCGTCTCTACTAAAAACACAAAATTAGCTGGGCACAGTGGTTCACGCCTGTAATCCCAGCTACTGAGCAGGCTGAGGCAGGTAAATCACTTGAACCCAGGAGGCGGAGGTTGCAGTGTGCCAAGATCATGCCATTGCACTCCAGCCTGGGTGACAGAGTGAGATCCTGTCTCAAAACAAACAAAAACAAAAACAAAAACAAAAACAGGGGAGGGAGGGAGGGAGGGGGACAAGGCAGGCAGGCAGGCAATCAGTATGACAGTATAGCGTTGGAGCTAACAACACAACTTCTAGAAGCAGACTCTATGAATTCAAATCCTGGGTCTACCATTTCATTTACAAGCTGTAGTTTCCTCTATAAAATATGAATCTACAGTACCTACTTCACACAGATTGTTATAAAGATGAGATGTGCTAATACAGATAAAGCAAGTACTCAGTGAACATGAGGTATTAACCGGAACCCAACAAGGTACTATCGTCAAATATAATAAGTAAGTACATAACTTTTTTCAGTTTACAAGGCAAATTTACATGTAGCATTTCATCTGGATCTCACAGAACTCCATGAGAGCTGGCGAAATACTTCCCCCATTTTCTTTGAAGCTCAGACTCTCCTCGTTTACTCACTTGCAAGTCACACTTCAGCAAAGTGACCAGGCAGATTTGGGAGAAAGCAAACAAACAAAAAACAGCAGATAGGTCTTTAAGAAATAAAGAAACCAAACAACAGCTACACCACACCCCCAGCTGATGGGCTGTAAGAACTGCCAGGAAGACAATGCTTTAGATGCCATCTACATGCTGTCAGTTCCATCTCAGACCTCTCTCCTGAATAAGCGTACACCTGCCCACTCAGCATTTCCACTGGATTTCTAACAGAGACCTCAGACTCAACATGCCTAAAAAAAGGGCTCCTTGTTTCCCTCCCCATAATAAACAAAAGGGTGGATAAATCATGATATATTACACACTAGAATATTCTGGCAATATGAAGGAACTGTAGCTATACCAGAAAACATGGATGAACTTTACAAATATAAATGGAGGAAAAACTCAGAAAGACCAGACACAGTCTGATACTATTTTTTATGTCTCAACATACTTTTAGCAACACACATGTACTCATTACACTGTGAGAAAAATATATTTGTTTGTTTAAAAATCAAGAGAATTATAGATACAAAATTCAGAATAGTGGGAAAGCAGGAAAATGTTAGGAATAAGATGCTTCGAGAGATCTCCAAGTGTCTGTAAAAAACCAGTTCTTACGTTGGATGGTGGTTCGCTGAGCACCTTTTAAAATTGTGCTTTAGAGTTTACTTGTATATTACATATCATCTTTTGTATATATCAAATAATTTCAAATTTAAAAGACAGAAATGCCATCTGCAAACATGAACTGTGCTGAAAGTAATTCATATTTCAAAACAATAAACTAAGCAATGAAGGAAAGTAACTCTTGCTAAAAATATGAGGAAGTTAATTTATGCTAATGAAGTTGGTTATGGAATATAATTACTTGAGCAAGGATGACTAAAATATGCCTGTACACTGTGTACCAAATGCCAAGGGGGAAATGACCAGGCTATTTACAGATCAGAACAAATTTGTTTATGAAGAATCGGGTTTTTTTTTCTATTTTGCAGATTTTCTTTTTTAAAAGCAGAATTGATGTGACTTGCTGAGTGTTAACTGTTTGGCAGGTGGATGATCTGTGGCCATCCACAATGAGATCACTCCCGGCCCTGCTGGCCCCAAGCCTCTAGAGGTCAGGGCTTCTGAGGCCCAGAAGCTTAGAGCCACACCTGTTGAAGGTCAGTGACGTCAGAATCATTCTTCCTTCCACCAGCAGCACTGACAACAGTTTACTGTAGGCAGTTTCTACAACTCAGATGTTCTAGAAGGAAGGAGACATATTCTGAGCGCACAGACCATGGCTATGTTCTCAGAATACGTTTTCTTCCTTCTAGAACACCTAAGCTACAATTCTTAAAATCAACATAGTATGACAGTTAGGAGGACGCGATCAAGCTCAAAGCCACACTAGGTGTGATGTGCCTTGTTTATCTGTTTGAACAGGAATAAAACGGAAAGAGGCCTCTAGTGTTTTTATATGAGCTGGAGCTATTTGAGTGGCCAAGGAAGAGAGTTTGATTTAGATTTGGCACAAGTTTAGGGGAAGAAACGTCTTTGTAGCTGGTCCTAAATATTATGGTAACTTGGACTGAGTCAGTTTCCAAGGGAGAAGTTGCCACATGTTATAACAGAAGCCACTGGGCTTGGCAAGAAAAGAAATGAAAGGAGTACAATGAAAGCAACCCCACTTCTCCATCGTGGCGGGGCCGTGCTAGGCAGGGTGACTGCATGAACCGCCTTTCTTTCCTACGGCTGATCAAATCCAGCACTGCCCTTGCAAATCGGTCTTCACCCCATTCCGAAGAATACAAAACGCGCAAGTTAATTTTAATTTCCAATGAATTCTTCAGGAGAAATGTTTCTTCTTCCTTACTAAAAAAAGAATAAAAAATACAGAATAGAGATTCAGAAGGAGGAGTGGCAGCAAAAATTCTCTCAGAAGATTGACAGAGCCTGCCTTTTTCAAATGTATTTATTTTTTCCTTATTATTATTATGCTTTAAGTTCTGGGGTACATGTGCAGAGCACACAGGCCTGTTACATAGGTGTACACATGCCATGGTGGTTTGCTGCATCCATCACCCTGTCATCTACATTAGGTATTTCTCCTAATGCTATCCCTCCCCTAGTCTCCCACCCACTGCTATCCCAGCCCCAGCCCCCTACCCGCTGACAGGCCGCAGGTGTGATGTTCCCCTCCCTGTGTCCATGTGTTCTCATTGTTCAACACTCAGTTATGAGTAAGAACATGCAGTGTTTGATTTTCTGTTCTTGTGTCAGTTTGCTGAGAAAGATGGTTTCCAGCTTCATCCATGTCCCTGCAAAGGACATGAACTCATCCTTTTTTATGGCTGCATAGTATTCCATGGTATATGTAGTTCTAACAAGGGAGGACTATCTTCTGTTTTGATTCATGCTCCACCATTCCCCACTTAAATTTTTAAAATTACATTCTTGCCTATGTCTATCTTGCTATTTTGACTGGTCATTCCCAAACATAAACTGCCCTACTCTGAAGCTTCTCAAAGCCAAGCAAAGGTGACAGTCTAGCACAAAGAAGGCTGCCGATGAGTCTTTGCTGAGTGGATCTACCTCCTTGGTCTGGATATAGATTCTAAGGCTTCTTACACTGAAAACAACAGACTTTCTAGCTATCCAGGTAATTTTTGGTGAAAGAAAATTATAAAAGAGGGCATAAACCTTGGCTCACAAAATAAACATGGACTCAGACCCATCTACTTCATGAAACATACAAGCCCAGAGGCTAGTCTTCTAGACCATGCCATCTGTTTTATGAGGAAAAAAATTCACATTATTTACTTTAGCTCTGCCAGAAATCATCATCATCTACTTGCACAACTAAAGACAACAAGACAGATGGAGGCTACACACTGAATACTGCCTAATTTTGATTTATATTTTTCGGTCAAACCTCTTACAATTTAGTATTTCTAAGAGGAAAAATAAGCTTATATAATATAATGGCACTGAATTATTGGTTTCCAGTTATGAGAAACAAAGGAAATTAACCTCAAGGGGAAAAAAATGCTACAAATATAAATAATATAGTTTCAGTTTACAAAGCAGTCTTCTATGTATTGTCATTTCTTTCTTTTTTTAAAGAAGGTATGTTTACGAAATAGGTGACAAACTAAGGTAGGTGTATGTGTAACGAGCGGCAGTGCCTGTAATCTCAGCTCTATAGGAGGCTGAGGCAGGCAGATCACTTGAGGTCAGGAGTTCGAGACCAGCCAACATGGTGAAACCCCATCTCTACTAAAAATACAAAGAATAGCCAGGCATGGTAGCGTGCACCTGTAGTCCTAGCTACCTGGGAGGCTGAGGCAGAATCGCTTGAACCGGGGAGGCAGAGGCTGCAGTAAGCCAAGACTGTGCCACTGCACTCCAGCCTGGGTGACGGAATGAGACTCCACCACTAGTTAACATGCCCTGGAATCACAGCTTGAGGGCTAAACCCACCTGAGTCCATGATGCACTCACAGGTCTATGCTCTTTGGCCCTGGCCGTACAGCCATTTGGAAGCAATCACAGAGAACAGAGTTTGTTAGTTGCTCAATATACAGTTGGGTGCAGCATAACGTTTCCATCAATGAGGTACCACATCCGTGATGGTGGTCTCCGAAGATTACAATGAAACTGAAAAATTCCTATTACCTAGTGACACTGTAGCCATTGTAACACACTGCAAGATTCTACTTTCTCTATGTTTAGATACACAAGCACTAACCATTGTGTTACAGTGTTTTCAGTACAGTTGTATGCTGTACAGGTTTGTGGCTTAGGAGCAACAGGGGCCTATCTTATTGCCTAAGTATGTAGTAGGCTATACCATCTAGGTTCGTGTATATATACCCTATGATGTTCACACAATGAAAAAACTGCCTATCCCCCTTGTTAAGTGACACACAATGTATATGCATTAAGCACCTACTATGTGTCAGGAACTGTACTTGGCAGGTGCTGAAGTATGGTGGTGAATCAGTGAAAAAATCCCTGCCCTCATGAAGTTCATAGTCTATGGGGAAGAATAGTGAGCTTCAGGGCAATACCCAGTATAGACACAGCCAGTGACCAAGAGCACTGGCTTGGAGTCATTCATATGCGGTTTAATCCTTGATTCTGCTACTTACTTTGGAAATGTGACTTAACTGCTTAACTGGTTACTTTACATGTAAAATGGGACGGTAATGCCAGCCTTTCTGGAATGTTGAGAAGACTCCATGAAACAATGTTTATAAAGCACTCAAAACAGCATCCAGCACACAACAGACCTAATAAATGGCAGGATAACGGTTCTCTCAAAGAACCAAGGGACACACACGACGAGGTTTGCTATTTTCCCCCCGAGAACACATCCCCAAATGCTGAACCGGGAGCCAACTCTCATCACGACTTTATCACACTCCTGTAAGACCCGGGACAAATCAGACGCTCACCAGTGTCACTAGGCTAGGCAGGAAAGTCTAGTCGTTAAAAATACACCCCAGCAGGAGGTCTGCAATGCTGCTGTAATGGGAATGTTTTCTGTTTTTCCAGGAGGTAAGAAGCATTATTGGATGGCCTCTTGAAAAATAACTTCTACGCATTTTCTCTTTTAACACAAGCCCTACCAAGAGCACACTACCATCATAAATATTCTGGACAACGACTCCAAAGGGAGAGATGAAAAGCTGTGCTCGGGGCATCCTAAGCTGAGAGGCGGTGGAGTCACAAACAGCACGACCTCTGCAGCCAGGCTGCCTGGGTCCTCAGCCCAGCTCTATCACTCACTGGCTGTGCAGCAACGCCACATCGCTCACTGGACTCATTGCTTTCAATCTGTAAAATGGGATAATATGATTCCCTATCTCATTAGGTAGTTGTAAGGATTAAAATCACTAATACTCGTAAGGCAACTAAAACAGTACCTGACATACAGAGAACATTCCATAAACATTACCAATAATTACGCATGGCAAACTCAGTAACTTTATTACGTTGCTAAGAAAACATGAGGGCCAAATAGCGAGAAAGCAAATGAACAATATCAGAGGTTTGAAACCCGAGTCTTCTCCTCGGCTCTCCCACCCACTTTCTGCATGACTGTGGGTGCATCACATCCCTTCTACAACTCACTATTCTCACCTATACAAAAAGCAATACACACATACACCGAGCACTCCTAGAGAGGCCTGATGCAGCTTTCTGCTAATACCAACGGGAGCCAAACAGTTTAAATTTCTTTATCTTCCTATTTGCATTAGTCAGGGTTCTCCAGAGAAACAGAATCATTGGGGGGTGGAGAGAGAGAGAGAGAGAGAGAGAGAGAGAGAGTGAGAGAGAGAGAGAGAGAGAGAGAGAGAGAGAGAGAGAGAGAGTCTATGTGTGAATGAGAAACAGAAAGAGATGGTGTGGGGGGCGGTTGGAGGGTGGTTAGATCCTGAGATTTACCTTAAGGAACTGGCTCATGCAATTACAGGGACTGACAAATCTGCAATCTTCAGGGCATGCTGATGACCCAGGGAAGAGTTGATGTTGCAGCTTTTTTTCCCCTGAGGTGGAGTCTCACTCTGTTGTCCAGGCCACAGTGCAGTGGCATGATCTCGGCTCACTGCCACCTCTGCCTCATGGTTTCAAGTGATTCTCATGCCTGTCTGCCTCCCAAATAGCTGGAATCACAGGTATGTGCCACCACACCCAGCTAATTTTTATGATTTTTAGTAGAGATGGGTTTTTACCGTGTTGGCCAGGCTGGCCTTGAACTCCTGATCTCAAGTGATCCACTCATTTCTGCCTCCCAAAGTGCTACGATTACAGGTGTGAGCCAGGGTGCCAGGCCAGTGTTGCAGTCTTGAGTCTGAAGGGAGTCCAGAGACAGAATTCCTTTTTCTTTAGGGACTTTTTCTTCTTTCAGTCTTTTTCTCTTAAGGCCTTCAACTGATTACATATGAGGCCTATAAAGGATAATCTGCTTCACTCAAAGTCTACTGATATAAATGTTAACCCCATCTAAAAAAATACCTGCACAGTGACATCTAGACTGATGCCTGACCAAGCATCTGGGTACTGTGGCCTCGCCAAGCTGATACCATTAGCCATTGTACCATCCTTTCAGAACAGGTGATACCCACACTGAAGGAAAAAACCTCTAGACTCCACAGCCATTTAACTTTCTGTTGGAGACAATGATCGAGGCAAGGAATTCAGAAAAGGCTACTATTTTCTTCACAGGTGAATTCCAAGCCTCACATCGCTTCCAAGGCATTTCTTGTTCTGGTTCCGGCTCACCTCTCTAGCCTGACTTCCTGGCAACCGTTCCCTCCATTCTAGCCACATGTGGTTTTCGGTTTAAAGACACTGTGTTCCTCTCTTGCTCTGCCGAGTACGCGCGATTTCCATCCTGGGATATACCACTGTCCCACATTTTATCTGGGTCTTCATCATTAGAGTCTCATGTTAAGAACCACATCTCCCTCAAGACAGCTTAAACTTCCCTGACCTGACATGCTGCCAAGCTGGTCCCTGAAGACACAACAAATAGCTGCTGAATAAACAAACAAGGATGCAGATGGTTCTTAAACCTTGACCTTCAATCCTCCCAATGTCCATGAGATTCGGCTTTGTGTCTCCAGACACTTGACGGACAGCTCCAGGTGGGAATCTCACCAGCACCGACACTGAACACGCACAGCGTGGACCGAGCTCATCTTCACTCTCACGTCTGCTGTCTTCTAAGCTTAGCGCAGTAGAAGGAACACAGGTTTGGGAGTCAGGGATGCCTGCACTGAAGTCCCCGTTCTAGATCCCATTAACGGTATAATTTTAGACCAATTGCTAACTTCCTCGGAGCCTTAGTTTTCTCATCTCTGGAATGAGGATGAAAATACCAACCCACAGGATTAGGAGATGATTAAATGAGCTAATAGCTGAATAATGCCTTGTAGGTGGCACAGAAATAATGAATGGCACCTGGGTTCAAAAGTCTGGGGGCATTTTGCTTCCCATCAGGCAACCCCTATTATCCAGGCAGTTCCTAAATCCCATCTCATAAATTCATTTTCTACATCCCGTGGCCTTCCCCTCACCTAGGCCCTCCCCACCTCCTTCCTGGACCATCACAGCACCTCTAAGAGGCTTTCCCAGCTCTGGCTATTTCACAGTCCAGAGCCACCCACGTGCTGATCCCCAACAAGGCCTCTTCAGGACAGGGACTCTTGCCACTCAAATTCTTCCACTGTTCCCCAATAACTTACGTTTAAATCCTTTAGTCACGTGCAACGCAAGGCCCTCTGGGTTCTGGCCTCCAAGGACCTTTGCTATCTGATCTTCTCCTTGGTCATTTACACACACCATTGCCCAGCAACTACAAATCGATTCCCGGCCACTCCGATTCCCGCTCACTCCTACCCTGGCATTTCCCATTGCTACTCCTACCCTGGCATTTCCCATCGCTACCCATGCCTTTGCTCATGTTCCTTGGACGAAAACACTCTCTCTCCAAGTCCTCAAGCCCAACATTACCTTTCTTTATCCATAAAGCATTTCCTGATCATCCCAGCCACAGATAACCTTTCTTTCCTATAAACTTGTGTTGTGTCTATCTACCTTTTATACATTTCTCTTTCCCTCTGCATTTCTTCTGTTTTTCTTTTTTCTAAGACATCTTGTTTTAGCATCTCTGCATTTATTCTAAATTTATCTGTGCACAGAATCTTAGCTTCAAGCTCTTCGAGGGTAGCATCGTGTCCCCGCCCACACTGTTACACTCAGGAGAAGCCCCCAGTAGATGGTGGCTCTGTATCTACCTACAGAGCGCCACTGAGGAGCACAGGCCTTCATGTCTGTAGCCCATCAGCTGAGCGTTGGCATCAGCTCCTAGCATAGTTCCTGGCACAGGGCAACACCCATATATCATTGGTAAGTGAAATTATCCACAGTAGAGTCATCTAGTATCTAGGATGGAAATCCCTTCCCTTTAGAATATAACATGAGAGAGAGATCCAAGATGGTCGATTACTAGAAGCTCAGGATTGTAGCTCCCAGTGAAAGTGCAGAGAACGAGAGGATGCCAAACTTTCAGATGAATTTTTGCTGCTCACGGACCAGGAGATTCCCAGCGGAGAAGCCCCACAGGTCACCAGAGTGACTCTTGTGGCTGGCGCAGCGGTTCTTGGTGCAGAGTAAATGGGACTAGGTCCCCTTTTGGTCGACATTTGGGGCTCCGCGAAGGCAGAGTCGCCCATTCAGCTGATTGAAGAAGTGATTCAGGAGGGAAGCCAGACCGGAGATTCCCGGGCAGAAAAGCACCACGAATCTTAACACCGCTGATTTAGCCGGCACAGTGGGTTGCTCAGATTCCAGTGCTGGGAATCAACAAGTTGGACGTCCACTCAGAGACCTAATTTGAAAGTCGGTAATTACAAAGACAACAGGTGGATAAATTTACAATGATGGGAAGAAACCAGCATAAAAAGGCTCAGAATACTCAAAATCAGAATGCCTCTCCCTCTACAGGGGATCACAGTTCCTCATCAACAAGGGAACAAGGCCTGGTGGAGAATGAGTGTGTTCCATTAACAGAATTAGGCTTCAGAAGGTGGAGAATAAGAAACTTCTGTGAGTTAAAAGAACATGTTCTAGCCCAATGTAAAGAAACTAAGAACCTTGAAAAAAGGTTTGATGAAATCCTAATGAGAATAGACAATTTAGAGAGGAATATAAGTGAATTAATGGAACTGAAGAATACAATATGAGAACTCCACAAAGTATGCACAGGTTTTAACAGTCGAATTGATCAAGCAGAAGAAAGGGTATCAGAGGTCAAAGACCAACTTAATGAAATGAAATGAAAGGAAAAGACAAGATTAGAGAAGAAAGAGTAAAAGGAATGTGAAAAGTCTCCAAGAAATATGGGACTATGTGAATAGACCTAATTTACATTTGATAGGTGTACCTGAATGTCATGAAGAGAATGAATCCAAGCTGGAAAATATTCTTCAGGATATTATTCAGGAAAACTTTCCTAACCTAGTAACATAGGACAATACTCAACTCCTGGTAATACAGAGAACACCACAAAGATATTCCTCAAGTAGAGCAACCCCAAGACACATAATCGTTAGATTCACCAGGGTTGAAATAAAGGAGAAAATTCTAAGGGCAGCTAGAAAGGTCAGGTTACCCATAAAGGGAAGCCTATCAGACTCACAGCAGATCTTTCAGCAGAAACCCTACAAACTAGAAGAGAGTGGGGGTCAATATTCAACATCCTCAAAGAAAAGAATTTTCAACCCAGCATCTCATATCCAGCCAAACTAAGTTTCATAAATGAAAGAAAAATAAAATTTTTCATGAACAAGCAAGTACTCAGAGATTTCATCACCACCAGACCTGCTTTACAAGAGCTTCTGAAAGAAGCACTATACACAGAAAGGCACAACCAGTATCAGTCATCCCAAAAAATTACCAAAAGGTAAAGAGTATCTCCATAATGAAGAATCTATGTCAACTAATGGGCAAAATAGCCAGCTAGCATTAAATGACAATATTAAACTCATGAATATCAATATTAATCCTAAATTTAAATGGATTAAATGCCCCAGTCAAAGACACAGACAGGCAAATTGAATAAAACTTGACGTTCCCATTGGTACGCTGTATCCAGATCCATCTCATAAGCAAGGACACACAAAGACTCAAAACAAAGCGTTGTTGGAAGACTTATCAATCAAATGGAGAGCAAAAAAAAAAAAAAACTAACAGGAGTTGTAACTTTCGTCTTTGACAAAATAGACTTTAATAGTAACAAAGACTAAAAGAAACAAAGAAGGACGTTACAGAATGGTAAAAGGATCAATGCAACAACAGGAGTCAATGATCATAAATATATATGTACCCAATATAGGAACACCCAGATACATAAGACAAGTTCTTAATGACTTATAAAGAGACGTGGACTCCCACACAATAATAGCGGGAGACACTGACACCACATTGTTAATATTCGATGGATCAACGAGATAGAAAATTAACAGGGACATCTATGATTTGAACTCAGACCTGGAACAAGTAAACTCAGTGAATATTTATAAATTCTTCACCCCAGGTCCACAGAACGTACATTTTTCTCAGTATCACATTACACCTATTTTGAAAGTGACCACATAATTGGAAGTAAATCACTCTTTAGTATTTGCATAGCATTTCACAGACTAAAATGAAATATTGGTTGGCTGTTTGTTATTTTCCTTCCTTATTCCTTCCTGTCGCCACTGTTAAGCACAATTATCGGCATGAAAGAGGTTTTTAATACCTATTTTTAGATTGCATTCCAGCCTGGGCAATAGAGCAAGACTCCTGTTCTCTCTCTCCCTTTCTCTTTCTAAAAAAAAAAGACTATAACATGAAAGGGGATGTGAAGAGCCTTCTCTCTCCCCATACTTCCAGATGCAAGAGGGCTTCAAGTTAACTGTCTCCCACAAGCTATATAGCTACTCTTGGCAATAAACATGACATATAATGCTTTGGTGCATTCAGGGTGACAAAAATAATCAATTTTAATACATCAGAAAGAATCATTTTTTAAAAAGTCTCCTTTGGAGAAGGGAGTTATTCAAACAATGTCCAAAATCTTTTGGACCCCACATTTTGAAGAGGTCCAACTTCTGTTGGTTAAAAAAAAGTCTATTATATACCATTGGTTAAAAAGAAAAAAGTCTATTATATAATGAAAGCCTTACGACTGACTGGGAATTATAGAATTTCAGAAATAAATCCCAGTCTGTTCATCCTTAAAATAAGAAGCTATTTTTCAGGGCTTTCATTTCCAAAATTCTATTATGTAAGCCACTTCATAAATCATGTACATAACAATTCTCATTTTTCCATTAAATCTCTATTTTGAAATTTAATTAATTCGCTCATCCATTTTTCCAGAAACGGGATCTTATTCCGTCGCTCAGGCTAGAGTGCAGTGGTGTGATCATAGCTCACTGCAGCCTTCAACTCCAGGGCTCAAGTGATCTTCCCGGCTCAGCCTCCCAAGTAGCTAGGACTATAGATGCATGCCACCAGGTGTGTCTTATTTATTTTACTTCATTTTTGTAGAGATGGGGGTCTTACTATGTTGCCCAGGCTGGTCTCGGTCTCGAACTCCTGGCCTCAAGTGATCCTCCCGCCTCAGCTTCCTAGAGTGCTGGGATTACAGATATAAGCCTCTGTGCCCCGCCTAAAATTTTATTTTGACCCCTTCTGGGCTCTAAAAACACACGTGTACCTGTGATACAGTACAGTAGTCTACAGTGCTACCTCTTTATCTAGTCATTTAACTCACTAACCTGTGTCTTTCTGAAATGCCAGACCCCATGAGCTGTTCACTTTTGAATCCACAGTACTTTCTACTGAAATGTAGTAGCTGGCTCAGTACATGTTTATAACATAAAGCAATGACTCAAATCAGTGGTTTGATCACCTGCCATATTCATGAGAGCTAACTACTGGCACCCTCCTACCCTCAAAGGACAGAGATTTCCCACCACTGTGGATGGTCAAAAGAAGATAGAAAGTTCTTAAGTGATTCATTTAATGTGTCTTTTTTTTCCCTCTTCTCTTTCACATCTCCTTCTTGAAATACATTTAATGTGTTTCTTTAGTCCCCTTGAAATAAATACTGATGGGTAAAACCAAATTAATTTAAATCACATGCTACAAAGGATAGCCAGTTAAGTACCCAGCTGAGTATCTAAAATTAGCGTGCGCGCGCACACACACACACACACACACACACACACACACACACCCCGAAAACAAAAACATGGAAAAAGCAAAGAAGCCCTGCCTGTTCAGCCCTGTGTACCCTTCACTGACTAGGAAGTGACCCATTTTCAGGTTATCATCCAATCATACAAACCAGGCACCAGTGTCTTCAGAAGCCTACACGTGTTCATCTCAAGACTCAGCAACATAAACACATCTACGTTCCCAAGAAAGCTTGCTGCAAGTTGGTGACAAATTTGGGGGGGGGGGGGAAGCTCTAAATGAAATTACAGACATGACTCTCATATTTGAGCTCTCCAGATGTATTGTTATGGGTTTAAGAAATACCACACTTCTGTGTCACAAAGAGAGTTCTAAAAACCAGTACATTCTGAGAAGTCCATATCTGCTACTTGGGAGCTAAACCGGGTTTGTGACAACTGAATCTCTTTAGAAGACTGTTAACACCTTGCTTAAGCATATAAAAGTTGAAAATAAAAATAACTGAAGATTTCAGAATTTTTCAGTCATAATATAGTTCTCACAAAAGACAAAATATTATTTCATATTCTTTTAAATATTTATAAAAGCAGCATGTATTTTTTTCTATTTACAGAGAGGGAAACTGAGGCAAGAAAATGCAATCATTCTGTTGAAGGACTATTCTACATTTCCCAAGCAATTATGACATGACCCCAAACTAACTAAATTCTCCGGCAACATATTCTTACAAGAAAAGGGCTAAAAGACTTATTGCTTAATGAAAGATAAACAATGTGAATTATTTCAATTATTGGTCCAAGAGGCTGCAGCAGGCCACTGAGTAACTTGGACACCTGTTGCCACCCTTGTTCATGTTTTCTCCTGAGATGACATGTATGTATAATTAACACGTGTCCTTGATTTTTATAAGAATAATATTCCTGAACGTCCCCACGTCTCCTGTACATAGCCACATGCTGCCATCTTCTGATTATGCCCAGTGGAGTGTCAACATTTTTTCGTGAAAAAGCAAAATCAATAAAAGTAAAACTCCCATGTTTCCTGCCAGTAGTGCCCTCGGTAACAAACAGGGCAGAGACACCAACACGGAGATTACAATACTCTCAGACATAATTCAAGCAGAACTTTAAATGGATCAATGCATGTTATAAACTTTTTTTTTTTCTGCAAGTGCCAAGCGTGCTTATGTTACTCTTCACTCTGAGATAGACAGATCATCAATGACCTTCTGGGTCACTGACTAAGGAGAAAGCTGACTATAAAAAAGAGTGGGAGAAAAATAAAGGGGGGGGTTGCTTCCTTCCACCCTAGACCCCCTACTGCCTTGAATGAAAGAAGACAGATGGCAGCCACCTTTCCCTTTAATTAGGAGGGGCAGCTCAGAAGAGGACAGTCCTGCTTACTTGGCATTATCTTTAACAAGACGGTTTCGATGGTAATCCTCTGCTCATTTGCCTTTCTTTCAAACTGTTCTTAATTTTTCATTTACAAACTGAATTTCTGTAAATGTAATGGTGAAACAATTATAGCTCTGACTGCAACACTGGACATAGAGGAGATACTTAGAGATGTTTGCGGAATTAATAATTAACAGATATTCCTATAAAGGCTCTGGAATGTTTCAAATAAAATACAGCCACCTCCAGTCCTATCAGCACCACTTTGAGATAAAATGTGAATTCGCAGGACACAGAAGCTAACTCAAATTCACAACATTCCATACTAGATCTAGAAGTTTCTGCTTTCCAGTTCCACACTCCAGTCATGCTCCTACCTTTTACCTTCAAGGTGTTGCTCTTCAGGTTGACCCCCCTCTCCCGCCACCAAAAAAAGAAAAGAATATTCTACAGTAAAAATCAGTCCTAGATTTAGAAGGAAAGACCATTTAACAACAAATCACAAACCACTCTTCATCTCTATTTGTTCTGCATTTTCAAGAGCCACAGAACTTTGTATTAAAAGTTAATCCATCCACATTACGTCTCTGGAGAGAGGATCAACATAAAAAACAAACAAGCAAAATGGAAAGCAGGGGCCACATGTCGGAATTAGGCTAATGTCACAGAATCTCCTACGAAGGTGATGAAGCCTCTTCATTATTTTCTAGAGGCAATTAAGCACATGTTCCGTAAATCTACATGGTGCAAAACTCTCTAACATGAAAGCAAAGTTTTGTTGCTGTTAACGGGGTTAGGGCTCTATTTTATCTCATTTTTATATTAAATCTGTATCAACACCACTAAATAATTTATATTCTCACAGCTCTTTGCCATTTACTGATGCGTTTTTAAATTGCAGCCTCTTGTCTGTGACCCTTCCCACCTAGTTTCTGCACGGTTCCTGCGCAAGGACCCTCTGCCTTCACACTTGTCTGGAGGACACCCGCTTTGCCTGCTTCCAAATGGAAATCAGGGTGGTGAACTGGGGTGGTTTTCCTGGAGGTACTCCTGGTCACACCATGCAAAACGCCTTATCTGAGTCACTCATTTACCTAATGGCAAAGATCTTGGGCCATTTAGAAACAAAGCGAAACACATTTTGTTTTCTCCATGATAATAAATTTCAATCTCTTACTATCTCTAAACAGCAAGCTGCACGCTAGATATGGGAAGAGAGAAAAGATAAAAGCAGTAATCAGCTCCTGAACAAACTATATCCTACTTCCCAATGAAGGGGAAAAACTTGGCATTTGCCAGATATTGAGTGTCTAATAATGTTAGCAAGAAAAAACACGCAGGAGAGACTAACAAAGAAACAAACAGAACTTACTTTGTTTCCCAGCATAGTAAGCAGGTCGGGAATGAGATGACGGCAATTCCTTCCTCAAGGTCCCTGCTTTCACTTTAAAAGCTGTGTGAGTGCTTACATCCAGGTTTCCCGTGGAACTACAAATGTCTGCACTTCTCAAGATGCACCATGTTCCCAGTCCATCTCAGACACTGAAGACACACTTCTGAGATCGGGAAGCCCCGCGGTAGCCTCAGTTGACCTCTGGGTGCCACGTGGCACCTCCACTGTTGTGACTACACACACAAGCCTGGGACACCCACTTGTTAGCTCAGGAACCAGGCGGCCAGCAGATATCTGCTCAGATGGATGTCCAGAGACTCAACTCTCTGGCATTCTCAGGTTCAAGGTTGGAAAATGCATTAAGATGAGAGCCACACAGTCAGCAGAAATCTGCGCCATTAGCTTTCTCATACTTAAACGTCTGTCTAAATAAGAGTCAAAGGCACAAAATGAGAGGGAATAGTTTACTAAGGATGGTGACTTGCACTTGCCGTGTTTTCAAAGTACTGGGTCCTGTCTTGCTCTCTACAACTGCATGTAAGAATCCCTAAATCAGAAGTTATTTTCATGTCTTCCGTGAAAAACAAAATCAATACAAGACTGGGAAAATATATGAAATATAATTCTGCTTAAAAACGGAACCATTATTTAATCTCAACTGGCCAATTTTTTTTTTTAAATCCAAAGAAGAAGAAGAAAAAAAACACGTATAAATTTAAAGTTTGTTTTGAAAAATTACTTCATCCATGTACTGTCCAGCTCATAAAAACAAACCTTCTTCCAGCGAAACGGGACACTTTGACCTTGTTTACTGCAGTGTTTTGAAACCGCTGTCTCGTAACTCCTGACATCACCGGGGATGCATTAGCACCTTGCCTGCTGCTGGCTGCACACCCTGCTACCCCAACTCCCTTGAATCGCCCATAGCTGAACAAATACTCACACAACAGTAAGGACAGTGGCCTTAGCATGAAACCCACAAAACGCACAAGATCTTTACAAGTGTCACATCTCTCTGTTCGCTTTTACAAGAAAACAAAAGCATTGTATATCTAATACTTTTTAGGTCCTACCGTCTGGACCTAGTGCAGACCATTCTTTCTTCTGATCCTCTTCCCTGTCCAAGAAACGGGCCTCCTTTCTCACTGACCGCTGTATTGGCAAGAATTTCTGCCACGGAGTTTTAATATTAAGAATAGGAGTTTCCAACCTACTTTCCACCAATAAAAAATTCCCACAAATCTTCCTAGCGGAGAATGTATTAAAGTGTACTTTAGAGTTTCAAACAGCACTGTATTCTTAAGTTTCACAAAGTCAAATGTGCTTGTTTTCTTTTATGGAACGTGCTTTTGGTGTTGTGCCTGCCTGTTGCATTTTAAGAAACAGTTTTCTCCTGTAAGCCTGACATGTTTCCCTTCTGCATTCCTGTTCTTTTTCTAAATACATCAAGATCAAAGCAAAGGACAGTTGCAACCACTGGAAGCAAATGACAATTGCATTTGTGGGAACATCTCTCAAAATTCACTTCTTAAATAAAACTAAATCTTGGTCCTATAACGATAGTGCAATTTTACAGAGAAATTAAAAACCCAAGTTTAACGTGTCTGAAATCAATTGATAACCTTTACTGAAACCACTTACAAAACATCACGTCCTTAAACCACAGTCACCAAAAAATATAGAACACAAAATACATATTTGAGCAATTATAGCCCTTGTCTGTCAAAGAGGAGTAAAAGGAAAAACATCCAGAGTTAATACAAGTAACTAACTCTAGCTAAAGAACTACTAAAAAGACCCTCCGAATGTCACGCTGTTACTATGACAGCTTCAAAACTGCTCTGAGAAAATGTGCTGGATTGTAAGATTCGAGTAAAACAAGCGTCATCCTGCCTGCTAGAAATTACTTTCATTTATATCAGGCAGCAGAAAGGCTAAATGGCCACTTCCAATTCTGAAATATCAGATTATTACCTTTTGACAGATGCTGTGCTCTTCATTCAGATCATGAAAAGAGTTAATACATGAACGACTCTCTCAGTAACTGGAACCCTTTTGGTTTCATTCCTGCAACGATCCCACTCCCACCGTCTATCTAGTTAGTACATTATTTTTTATAATGAAAGCAGCAAAGCCTGATTCAATCTGAAAGGGAAGGGCCAAGAAAAACCCCTAACAGTCTCTCGTTTCCAAATACAAACAGAGGAGCAGACACTCACTCCGATATTTAAGGGTTAATAATACAACAGAAAAAGAACACGGCATTTTCCCCTTAAAATTCCTGCTCTTAGGTATTCAGCCTGATTTACATTTTACGTAATCTTATGGCTCAATCAGGAAGTGAGAATTTTAAGTGCGTGAGTTGTGGACGGGAGGAATCATGTGACCCACAGCAAAGAAAATTACGCAGCAGACGAGCATGCTAAGAAAAATAAACTGAGCAGTTAAAAAATAGTGTTTGGGGGATATATTGACCCATGAATATATTATGGCTTTTGAGAACTAATAATTCATTTGGATGCCTTAAAAATAAATCCCCAGGACTGCTTTAAAAAATATTATAAGATCAGAGTAATGCACGGTGAGAATTTAAGTTTATCCAAGAAACTGTTTCCCTGAAGTTTATATCCGTTCATGGTTTAGGTTAAGGGCTATTTTTCATCATTATTTGAAGATCAGGTAATACTAATATAATCAAACAAAACACGGGTTGCAACCATGTTTACCTAAGCTTTATTTATATAGACAGCACATGGGCTCCTGGGGCACAAAGAAGAAAGCTGCTCAGATTTATCCACACCCCACATAAGTTTATAGATTTCAAGTAGATACTGTATTTTATTACAGCAAATACATTCTTCAAGGGGAAAATGTTAAGGCCACAGAAACCTTCACTTCAGGTATCAAAGCTTGTACCAGGTCATTAAATAGTATCTGAATTATTCTTATGTGTTCCGTAAGTTATGCCACAAATATCAGACCAAGTACACTCAGTTTAGAAACAAAAACGTGGGAGATAAAGGTTAAAACATTCTAATAGGTGTAAGGGGCTGACTGACCGATGACTTCATATTACAAAGCTATTTAAGACATATTCTACTTTTCTAGAATAGAATATACTAACATTTGAAATTCAAAAGATTTGGCCCGTGGCTACTTTGTTTCTCAATACAATTCCTGTTATTAATAAGCAATCACTTATTAATACCAATAAAAAATTAACATGGTTGAGGAGCAGGTATATCTCATAGCCTTTACTTTTATCAATTTAATGCTTAATACCAAAATACTATTCATATTTTTATTTCAGCCTATTAAAAAAATTTATACCATGACTCTGGGCAAGTGGCAGGGTGGGGCCAGTAACCGGAATCAGTTGTAGGTATTTCTTTATTCTTAGCTCATCTTCCTTTAATTCTTAAACACAAGAGGTATCGGGGGGAAAGAAGAGACTGATAGGAAAGACAGAAACCTTTCAGAAGGGAAGCTTAAGGTAGATTAAGAAAAGTTATGGAAGGCAAGAAGCACACAACCTTCTAGATGGGGTATTACATGACATCCGCCATCATCGTACTAAACTTGATATCCTATTTGTTGACTGAATTAAGGAAAGATGAACTAGTTACCAAGAAATATACCCAGCAGACTGATTCATGGCAAACCTAGCTCAGCCACTTGCCTAGACTTTAGTTTATTTAGGATTAATCTCAGAGTATGTACTTCTCAACTCCCTCATTCTATGAATGAATCTTGGGTCTGGTCTCAGCTGTCTGTCAATTATCTGTGTAATACAGCAAAGTCTCTTAACTTCTCTCATTTCCTGAAATATTAAATAGTTACCCTTTGAGAGATGTTGCATTCTTCATTCAGATCACAAGAAGAGTAATCAGTAAATGAATCTTTGAGTAATCAGAACCATTTTTATTTCATTCCTGCAACTGTATCACTAATCAGAAAATCAGAGAAGTTAAGAAACTGCTATGTCACAGAGATAGGTGAGTGAACTGAAACCAGACCCAAGATTTTGGACTTTCCCTGCCTAGGACTCTTTTTCACTATGTGCTGCCTTACGACTGTCACCTGAGGTTTTCGTAACTCTCCAACTAGCTAAGCCCTGGTTTCTTATCCTAGTCATGGAAAAGACAAACAATCAGGATCCAGAGACCCTTGCTCTGGGCCACCTCCTTCCTAACTCACAGGCCTACTGATCCTCACTGCTGCTGTGGGCTGCTCCCAGCAGCCAGTGCTGAGCCTCCTACCTCATCAGCTGGCAGGAGACAGGGCAGGTTCCGGGCTGAGGGGCACAGCTTCTGAGGTGGTTCCAGTCCACTCCCTGGCTCGTTCCTTCCACTGGTACTCACAGCTTCCTCATTTTTCCCAATGGGAAAATCAAAGCACTAAAATAAGAAAAAGCACTTGTTTTGGGTCATGTCACAGCTGTACTGAGATTTTTGAATAAACACAAGAACCAGATAATAGTCTAGAAAAAGGAAAATTAACTCCTACTTCATAACATTCACCAACATTAATTCTGTGGAGATTTTTTTTTTTTTTGAGACGGAGTTTCGTTCTTGTTACCCAGGCTGGAGTGCAATGGCGCCATCTCGGCTCACCGCAACCTCCGCCTCCTGGGTTCAGGCAATTCTCCTGCCTCAGCCTCCCGAGTAGCTGGGATTACAGGCCCGCACCACCGTGCCCAGCTAATTTTTTGTAATTTTAGTAGAGATGGGGTTTCACCATGTTGACCAAGATGGTCTCGATCTGTTGACCTCGTGATCCACCCGCCTCGGCCTCCCAAAGTGCTGGGATTACAGGCTTGAGCCACCGCGCCCGGCCTAATTCTGTGGAGATTAAAGAGTTAAACGTAAAAGGGGGAAGAAAAAGAAGAAAACTAAAGTAGTAGAAAATATTTCTGAATTTGGGATGAGAAAAGAAGATTTGGCCTTATAGAAGCCATAAAAAAAAGTAACAAAAGGCAAGGTAATCCAACTGCAACAAAACGTAAAACCCTTATGTCAAAAACCAGCAAACAGAATTGAAAGGTGAGCAAAAAAAGGCCAGGTGTGTTGGCTCACACCTGTAATCCTAACACTCTGTGAGGCTGAGGCAGGAGCGGCTCAAGATCTGGAGACCAGCCTGGGCAACACAGTGGGACCCTGTTCCTACAAAACATTTAAAAACTAGCCAGGTGTGGTGGCATGTATGTGTAGTCCTAGCAGAGGCTGGGGTTGGGTATTGCTTGAGCCCTGGAGTTCCAGGCTGCTATGATTGCATCACTGCATTCCAGCCTGGGTGACAGAGGGAGGCCTTGTCTCTAAATAAATTAAAAAGCAAAAAATAAAATAGCTGTAATAGGAAAATACTCTTTATAGTATTTGAATGTAAAAGGTAAAATGTAGTAACAGACATTTCACACAAAAATATAAAAGGCCAATTAATATGAAAAAAATGTTCAATTTCATGAGCAAACACCAAAATGCATTTCACCAATTACAAAGATGGACAACAAAAAAAGGAAAGCTCATGCAGTGGGGTGAGACAGCCATTTCAAGAAATCAGCGATATATGTATTTTTCAAGCCTTAGAACTGTTTTGACTCCTAAGATGTTTACGAATATCTCCTAAGGAAATCATCACAGATACACAGGAAGATAACTATACAAGGGAATACTCAGCAAAAGCATGAAACAGAGAACAACTCAAACATCCAAAGGTGAAATGGAGCATGTGCCTAAACAGATCCCAGTAAAAATTCATACACTTAAATCATGATTTTGGAAAATGCTTAATGATATTGAAGATGACAAAATATAATGTTGGGTGCAAATGCTGAATAGAAAATCGTACATAAACATGATAAGAAAGAAAGTGAAGAAGGAGGGAGGGACAAACTGGTCTCGAGAGTGGATTAGGAAACATTAAGAAAGCTTACAAAGGGTAGAGATATTTGAATTTTATTACTTCTTTATAATCTTGGGATGTTTGGCATTTTCTGTAATATTTTTATAACTGGAAAAATTTATTTATGTGAATTACCACTCTGTAAATATTTCTCAGCTATATAAAATCACAAAAATATTTGCAAATACTTTTTAATAAGATTTTTTTTTTTTTGAGATGGGGTCTTCATGGGGAGTGCAATGGTACAATCAAAGCTCACTGTAACCTCTAACTCCTGGGCTCAAGCCATCCTCCCATCTCAGTCTCCCAGCTACTGAGGTATGAACCACCACACCCAGCCAGAAATTCTTATACTTACTAAACGCAAAGAAGAAGGTGCAAAACGATATGATCTTTACTATGTAAAAATTTACGTGAAAGAGACTGGAAGCCTCTGCATCAGAATGTTAACAGCTGTTGCTTTTAGGCAGTGCCATTGTGTGTAATATTTTTCTATATATACACCTTACAAATTTTCTGATTATCATATTTTGTTTTATAGTAAGAAATAGATAACATCACAATTAGAGGATTGATACATCAAGAAGCTGCTTCTATCAGCACTTAAATTTCAAAATACAGAATATCAATAGCTACAAAAATCTGCCTTATGACCAAGGGATTTCTTTTTTTTTTTATTTAGGAACCACTGGTATACCTTCAGAAAACGGCAGGAATTGGTGTGTGTGTGTAGGAGGTGGTAATGAATCATATCTTTTTGGCCGTCAAACTGTTTTCTCTAGGCAGCAGTTCTGTGAGGGTCCTCCTGAAATATGAGAACCTTGATAGTCGGGACATTACCAGAAAAATGGTCCAAAGGTCAATGGGGGGAGGAATAGTCAATGATCAAAAGAGTAAGGCAGGAGTCCATGAAAACACAGGCATCAATAGAGAAGGATCGATTCATCTTTTGATCCAAAGGAACTGAAAGCAGGAACTAAAACAGGTATTTGTACATCCATATCCATAACAGCATTATTCACAACAGCCAAAACATGGGAGCGATCCGTGTTCATCAACTTGTGGCCATCACAGGGATATATAAAATGTGTTATATCCACACGGCAGAATATTATTCGGCCTTAAAAAGCAAAGAAATCACGTCCACGCTACAGTGTTGTAATCCTACAACATTAGATGAACCTTAAAGACACTGTGCTAAGTGAAATAAGCCAGTTACAAAAGGACAAATACTGTAGCGTGTCACTTATTTGAGGTACCTAGAATAGCCAAATTCAAAGAAACAAAGTATGATGGTGGTTGCCGGGGGTGGGGTGAGGGGGGAGGAGAGAATGGGGAGTTGTTGTTTAATGGGGATAGAGTTTCTGTTTTGCAAGATGAAGAGATTCCGGAGATGGATGATAGTGATGGGTGCACCACAATATGAATGCGTTTAATGCCAATCACATGGATACTTAAAGATGGTTAAGATGGTAATTTTTGTGTTATGTATTTTACCACAATTAGAATATATATGTATATATTTTAAGGATCTGTATTTACATATAGAAACAGTCTTATCTGTGTGTCTATATGTATTTCATATATAAATATATGAAAGAAAGAAAAAACCTTTATAATTAGAAGTCCTGAATAAGTTTCTGAGTTGGCATGCCAGGAAGGTTTAAGGAGTGTCAATGGTGCAAGCATCAAAATGACCTTATTTCTGAGACTAAATTCTTTCAATATAACTATAGAAGTCAGCTCAGAAGTGAAAATCCGTATCAAAAGTGAAAATAAGAAGGGACACTGTGTTCAGTTTGAACATAATATTCCAAACCTCTTCATGGTTTTTTTTGAGACCCTCTCATAATAGCCAGCTTGGAAAAATTCCCTACAACTAGGAAAGAACCTACAAATCCAAGCAACATGATGACATTTTCTCGTTAACTAACAGGAGAAAACATAAGAATAAGGGAAACTCTGAGTGTCCTTAAAATGTACTTGATACCCATTCCACATTATTACCACAGATTTCAAGAATTCTAGGGCTATACAGAAGCTCTCAGACAGAACTGTTCCAGGACTTGGATGTCTCGAGAGGCCTGCCCAATGTCACTGAGAAATGCCGGATCTAAAGACAAGCCCGTGGAGGAGAGTCCTGTTTTGTTTGTTGTGTTATATTTTATTTATTTTATTTTTTTTTTTGAGATGGAGTCTTGCTCTGTCACCAGACTGGAGTGCAGTGGCACGATCCCAGCTCACTGCAACCTCCACCTCCTTGGTTCAAGCGATTCTCCTGCCTCAGCCTCTTGAGTAGCTGGGACTACAGGTGTGTGCCACCATGCCCAGCTAATTTTTCTGTATTTTTAGTAGAGACAGGGTTTCACCATGTTGGTCAGGGTGGTCTTGAACTCCTGACCTCAGGTGATCCACCTACCTCAGCCTCCCAAAGTGCTGGAATTAGAGGCATGAGCCACCATGCCCGGACCTGTTTTATCTTTTCTTTTTTTTTTTTTAATTTTTTATTGGATTTTAGGTTTTGGGGTACATGAGCAGAGCATGCAAGACAGTTGCGTAGGTACACACATGGCAGTGTGCTTTGCTTTCCTTCTCCCCTTCACCCACATTTGGCATTTCTCCCCAGGCTATCCCTCCCTACCTCCCCCTCCCACTGGCCCTCCCCTTTTCCCCCCAATAGACCCCAGTGTTTAGTACTCCCCTTTCTGTGTCCATGTGTTCTCATTTTTCATCACCCACCTATGAGTGAGAATATGCGGTGTTTCATTTTCTGTTCTTGTGTCAGTTTGCTGAGGATGACGTTCTCCAGATTCATCCATGTCCCTACAAACGACACGAACTCATCATTTCTGATTGCTGCATAATATTCCATGGCGTATATATGCCACATTTTTCCAATCCAGTCTATTATCAATGGACATTTGGGTTGATTCCAGGTCTTTGCTATTGTAAACAGTGCTGCAATGAACATTCGTGTACATGTGTCCTTATAGTAGAACGATTTATAGTCCTTTGGCTATATACCCAGTAATGGGATTGCTGGGTCAAATGGAATTTCTATTTCTAAGGCCTTGAGGAATCGCCACACTGTCTTCCACAGTGGTTGAACTAATTTACACTCCCACCAACAGTGTAAAAGTGTTCCTTTTTCTCCACATCCTCTCCAGCATCTGTTGTCTCCAGATTTTTTAATGATCGCCATTCTAACTGGCGTGAGATGGTATCTCAATGTGGTTTTGATTTGCGTCTCTCTGATGACCAGTGACGATGAGCATTTTTTCATATGATTGTTGGCCTCATATATGTCTTCTTTCGTAAAGTGTCTGTTCATATCCTTTGCCCACTTTTGAATGGGCTTGTTTGTTTTTTTCCTGTAAATCTGTTTGAGTTCTTTGTAAATTCTGGATATCAGCCCTTTGTCAGATGGGTAAACTGCAAAAATTTTTTCCCATTCTGTTGGTTGCCGATTCACTCTAGTGACTGGTGCTCTACACGTTCAGAGAAACTTCTCTAGTAACAAACTATAGAAATGATCCCTGAAAGTATAGACTTTGTTTTATCTTTTCAAGAGGTGGCTATTTAAAGGTAAGAAAGCAAAGCATAATTGGAATGCTTTTTCTGCAAGTCATTTGATTCATTAATTTTGTTCAAAAAATACTTGTGTACATCTTGTATAATGCTGCCAGGCACTGGGCTAGGTGCTGGATAATGAACAGTATTTCCTGCAGCAAACCGGCAATTATAATATAAATGGGGCATACAGTGCTATGGGTACACATAAGACGGGGCTCTAATCTGGTCTAGCTAGATTGGTTGAGGACGGCAACCCGAAGTAGTGACATTTTTAATAATAATAGTAATCACTGTTATCATCACAGCAAGCTTTACTGACCATCACTACAGGTCAGATAGGGCTTTAAGCATTTTCTCTACATGAAATAATTTCATCTTCACCACAGCCCTATAAAGTAGAATCTTACAGATGAGGAAACTGAGGCACAGAGAGGTCACACAGCTCCTAAGCAGTGAAGTCAGACCAGATTGCATGCTTTTCCAAAATCTGCTTCTAGGGAAACCCAAACAAAGACAAGACAGGAATGAAACTTAAGGAGCAGAACATTCGGGAAAGAACTGAGAAGCTCTGAATAAGAAAAGAGGGAAAAATAGGGTAGAGTTACTACAGATGGGAAGGGCTGAGGAAGGATGGAAGGGATACAAAGCCCATGACGAAGAGCTCCAGGGCAGGAGTGGCTGATTTACAGTTGGGATTTTCATGAAGCTCTGCAGAGTGGGAAACAACTCTCTTCTCCAACTCCCCATGAACTTGTTAGTGCTGTGACGACCTGGTCATGCACAGGCTGGAACACACGCTCTGCAGAGGCCCCCATCAACCTGGCTACGGGACATTTAACAAATGGGTAAGAACTGAAGCAGGGAAGGAGCAGGATGAGGATGCTTTAAAAGCACTGTCCTGAATGCAGTCAGAGAATGGATTAGGGGAAATTTAGCAGGGAGAAGGTTGCTAATCCATTCATATAGGTAAAAAGTAATGGTGCCCAAGAAGGATATGACAGACAGATAAAGTAGATGGGTTTGAAAACTGTTGATAGGTAGAATTTTGACCAGATTTGGCTTCTTACTGGATTCTGAAGGTGAGGAGAAAGGATCAGTAAATCACAGGTTTCAAGCTTGGGTACCTGGATCAATGTGGAACTTCTTGGATATGAGGTGCCAACAAGATATCCAAGTGCAGATGTCAGTGGGCATGGGAATATCAGCAGGGAGCTTAGAGACTGATAGAAAGAACCTGAAAAGGACAAGAAGAAAAAGCAAGAAGGGTAGGTTGGCTCTTCAAAGGTCAGGGAGGAGAACGTATCAAACCCTGCTCAGCACTGAGAGACTGGGAAGACAAGAATCCAAACGCATCTGGAAAGAGAGGAGGGTGACTATTGGCTTTGGCTAGAGCAGAATCCACTTGTTCAGTCTGGCAAAAGCCAGACTGGCTCATCCTGAGGGGTGGGCAGGAGTGAGGACAAAGAGGGAGTAATTAGAGACAATTCTTCCAGAAGGCTGGCCCTGGCAGGAGAAGTGAATGGAGAGGTAATGAAAGGCAAGGTGATACTGAAGGTCTGTGTTGTTTAAAAGGGGAAAGACTTGAGTTGGTTTCAGTGCTCGCAGGAGAAAGTCAGTGCGGAATAAAAAGTACATGACCAGAGAGATAAAGTCTTTGAGAAGGTGAGAGGGAAGTGGGTGGGGTTCAGGGCCTTGGACAAGAGGAAGGACTCCTCCCTTTCCGCTGAAACAGGAGGCAAAGAAAGCCAGGTAGGTACAGATGGGGACTGCTGAGGTTTTTTTTGTTTTGTTTTGTTTTTTTGAGAGATGGAGTTTCACTGTTCTTGCCCACGCTGGGGTGCAATGGCACGATCTTGGCTCACTGCAACCTCTGCCTCCTGGGTTCAATCAATTGTCCTGCCTCAGCCTCCAGAGTAGCAGCTGGGAATACAGGCATGCACCACTACACCCAGCTAATTTTTGTATTTTTAGTAGAGATGGGGTTTCTCCACGTTGGTCAGGCTGATCTCAAACTCCTGACCTTAGGTGATCTGCCCACCTCCCGAAGTGCTGGGACTACAGGCGTGAGCCACCTTGCCCAGGAGAGGAGTGCTGATTTAAAGTGAGAACCTGAGTGGGTCTACCCTCTGGCTTCTCTTCCCTCCATGACACAGGAGGGACAGCCAGTTACTGAGAGTAAGTAGTGACATGGAGGAGGTGGAGAGTGGGCACTGTGTGCATAGCTGCTGGCAGATGGAGATGCAGGGGCCCTGGGATGACATGGATCAGCCGCTGCGGAGTAGAAAGCTGCTTCCTCGACTGTGTTTCTTGTGCCTGCCAAGTCATGGGCGCCACATCCCTGTCCTCTATGCATCTGTGGCATCTATCAAACAGCACTAGGAACATAAAACCATGATTACGCTGAGCAGGCCTTGTGAGAAGTCTCATGTTCCATGCAGTGAGATCAGGAAGTCAGCTGTAGTAAATGACATCAATTTTCTATAGGCCTTCACCACATATATACGGCAGAGAAAGGCAATGGTCTACACAGAGCATGATGGCCCTCCTGTGACAACATGCAGCACAATCCCTCTTCATTCTACAGTCAAACCCCGTCTGTCTGTGCCACCAAAATGGGACTCTGACAGAAATTACATCATGAGTAGCACATTAACGGACCTTCATGTTTGGTCTGAGCTGATTGTTTCCGGCGCGGTCAACCCTATTAAATGCAAGCAGGTGATTACAGTCCAGGCTTTTCCTGCCTGCCTGAGCCGTGTGGGGAATCTGAGTGGGGAGAGACCTGTCCTGGCCACTTCTCCCAGGCTCGGCTCTCGGTCCCGCTTTTGCCAGGAAACTGCTAGAGAAAGCAGAAACAGGGGCCAGGAGCTGAGCCCAGAGATACAAGTCCAAACACAGGCTTGGGAAGGTGGTATTTCAGACGAGTGGAGAGGAGGACGTAAACTTCAAACGTGTCTTTCCTTGTAAAGTCCTTTTGTAGAGACAAATAATTCTGGTAATGAATATGAAGCATCCCTGGTTATTTTCAGAGCATGCGTCTTCCAAGGAGCTCAAAAAGACCCTTTCATTCTACATCCTTCTGGGAAACAATGGGAATTAATAATAAACCTGACTGATTCAGCCCAAATGGGGAGTCTATCATGAAGAGTGAGACAGCTGAATCACAGCAGAGTGGAATGCACTTTTGCTTTATATGCTTTTCCTTTACTAAGTCCTTTTTTGGTGTTCTTTAACCATAAAGTTAATATATTATTGCCAGCCAGCAGTTACACAGTGCTCACTATGAACCAGGCACAGCGGTAAACCTGTTGTATACTTTAACCCAAACCCTGAGGCAGGTACTCTTAATTCTCCCCATTTAGCGGGGAACACAGGAGCATGGATTCCTTTGCCTGTGTTGAGTAGCAGAGTTGGTATTCTAAGCCAAGCAGCCCAGCCCGAGTCCTGCACTAATCACTTCCCTATACCACCACACCACGAAAGCGCCACATCAAAGTCCTAAAACGCAGGTGTCAAAAGAGAGCATCACTGTTTATTCCACCTAACAGAATAATTTGGGTGCATTTCCTACTCTATTCAGCCTTCGGTTTTCAAATCAAGGAATCTTTTAAAAGAAATAAAGTTCTATATTCAAATAAACATGCTCAACCAAACCGTCTACAAAAACCTTTCCAAGTAGAGATTCTATTCATAGACAAGGCTTGCTGAAAATCAGATTTACTTTTGCATACAATATTGCTTGTTATTAAAATAATTTTTCTTTTACAATCCTCTTTACATTTTGAAAAAGTCTTACTTAAGAGTATTTGGGCCAGGTGCAGTGGCTCAAACCTGTAATCCCAGCACTTTGGGAGGCCAAGGCAGGTGGATCACAAGGTCAAGAGATCAAGACCATCCTGGTCAATGTGGTGAAATCCCGTCTCTACTAAAAATACAAAAAATTAGCTGGGCATGGTGGCGTGTGCCTGTAATCCCAGCTACTCAGGAGGCTGAGGCAGAAGAATTGCCTGAACCCAGGAGGTGGAGGTTGCAGTGAGCTGAGATTGCGCCATTGCACTCCAGCCTGGGTAACAAGAGCGAAACTGTGTCTCAAAAAAAAAAGAGTATTTATTTTTTGTCTGGTCCACATTTCATTATAATGAGTTCCAAATCACTCATTTTGAATCCACATATATCCAACTTTTCGGATAAGAAAAATGAAGTTAATTTTGTTGTTCTTGACGTCACCTGCAGGCTCAGACTAGATCTCA